ACATAAAAACGAATGGTAAAAGTAAAATATAAAACGGGTCAAACTAAGGCTCACATTTTTTTCCGGTTCAACTATCGAAAAGACGTTTTTACCCACTGTTTTAAAATCAAGTGGCCTTGCTGTAAGTCCAAAACAAAGCCCGATATTTAAAGGCCCAAGAATGGTTCAGGAATGGCCCAAGCTATTTGGGAGGTTTCTCTTTAGCCTCCATATACAGTTTTCAGTCGACGTCTTTCTTCTTCCTTTCTTTTTTCGGAGGAGATCGATTCAGGTTTGTTCGTAGGGTTGAACAAGGGACATGTTGTCACCAGACGCGAGTTGACTCCTCTTCCTTGTGCTCGCAAAGGAGTACGTTTCTCTCTTTCTCTCTCTCTCTCTCTCTCTCTCTCTCTCTCTCTCTCTCTCTCTCTCTCTCTCTCTCTCTCTGCTTTTTATATTCTTTGATCTTAGCTCTTTAGACTTAGCACTAGATTGTGTTAGTTTTGTTCACATGATACCAAGAACATAGTCTCTTGTAAATGACTAGTCTAGTTTTCTCGGAAATGTAACTCTGTCACAAAATCCAGCGGCATGATTACAATTTTATTTTCTCTCTTTTCTCTTTTAACTACATTTTAATTGTCAAATCGAAATCTCTCACAGGTGCAATCACTGATTTTCTGAAAATTCCAAAACGTAAATCTTTGTCTTTTTTTTTTGTTTCTCTCGCAATTAGTCAATGGTGTCTGATCAGAGGAAGACTATGTTCTTTTGTGTTTTTTTTTTTTCCTAGTCTGCTATGTCGTGTGGAAAATCTTCTACTCTGTCTTAATAGATCCTTGTTTGATTTCCTTTATAATACATGGTTTTTGCAGTGTTAGTTCACTTTTGAGAACAGAGAGGCTGCTTGGTGTTTAGAAATGAGTATGTTTCTAACACGTCGTTTGGTAACTAGATGTTTCTCCTCCCGTCCTCCTCTCCATGTCTGCATCGTTGGCAGTGGACCTGCTGGTTTCTATACTGCCGATAAGGTCTGCTTCATTCCCAATCTTTTCATTAGTTTTACACTTACTGTGTCTGAAATGTATTAAAAACACATGTCGTGTGTGTTCTTTTATGTGTACAAACATATTAGTGTAAGAAAATATTGATTTGATTAATATGTTCTGAGGTTGTTCGTTGTGAAAGTCAGTAAGTCACCAATTAACCTCTGTGTTTTGATTTGATGGCTGGTGTGATCAGTTATTAAAGGCACATGAAGGAGCACGTATTGATATAATTGATCGATTGCCAACACCTTTTGGACTTGTTCGTTCCGGTGTTGCCCCTGATCATCCTGAAACTAAGGTACTAGCTACTTGAATTTCACTTTTATGGCTAAATCTTGTTTGTTTAGAGATATATTTAAAAGAAAACAACAATGATATCTTCTTTCATTTCTATAGATTGCCATTAATCAGTTTTCTCGCGTGGCACAACACGAGCGTTGCTCTTTCTACGGTAATGTAAAGCTTGGTTCGGACTTATCACTTTCTGAGCTACGGGATTTGTATCACGTCGTAAGTCCTCCTTAACTATCTTCGTTATGTGATGTAGAATGATAAAAGTCTGTCATTAGTGGCCTATTAATCAGAGGTAGGTTTTGTCAGATTTAACAATAGTCTATGGCTGTTCACTATGCACCCTTAAACAAGTTTTAATCTGTTTACTATACTCCTATTCGTTTTATTCTACCTTGCTCTCATTAGTCATTACATAAGTTGATTGAGAACCCTCAACTTATTATTATGAGCATGTTTTTTCAGGTAGTACTTGCATATGGTGCAGAAAGTGACAAAAATCTTGGCATTCCATGTGAGGTATGCTCGCTAAAAGTGTTTCATCTAGCGTCCTTAAGTAGGTTCTGGCATAAGTTACTGTGATTCGGTTCGGTTGCTTATACTTGTTTCTGGTTTAATTTTGTAGAGTTTGAGTGGTATATACTCTGCAAGAGAATTCGTCTGGTGGTATAATGGGCATCCTGATTACAGCAGTTTGAAACCTAACTTGAAAGGCTCTGACACAGCTGTTATTCTTGGCCAGGTAACTCTTTTAAATTCTAAGTGTCAGCTAACTCTTTTCTTTTGTACCAAATGTATCCAGAGTAAATGCATTTCTCAGGACCGCTCTTGACATATAAATCATTCAAATTTTAAGGGTAATGTAGCTCTAGATGTTGCTCGGATTCTCTTAAGATCCACGACAGAATTGGCGTCAACTGATATAGCTACACATGCTTTATCTGCGCTTGAAGAAAGTTCTATAAGGTCACCACAAGTTAGATACTGTTGCATTCCATCGTTAGTTCCTAATACAAAGCCCCGTAATGTCTACAGGAAGGTGTATCTTGTTGGAAGACGAGGGCCCGTTCAAGCAGCGTTGACTGCTAAAGAGCTTCGAGAAGTTCTAGGTACGTTATATATCTTTTGTGAGCGTGTTTGAGTGGAAGTGTGGTTGCATGAAAAAATCTCTTTAGTTGTATATAATTGGAGTTTACAGTATTTTTGATAATTGGGTTCAGAGGTTTACCGGTCTTTCCAAGTTGCATCCAAACTTGATATTTGTGATAGATTCAGACCTTAGATTACATTGTTTTTTCTTACATTTAGTTAAGTTAGTTTAGCTCCATTGTTTTGTACTAATATGAGACGGTGTATGGCAAAAATACTACTCTTTTTGCTAAAGTGTGTTTGTCTTGACCTTAAGTTATCTTCTTTATGATGTGCAATATCTTGTAATATTTTTTTGTTGCATCTCTCTACAATGCAGGGATTAAGAACTTGCACATTCGAATAAAGGAAACTGACTTGAGTGTAACTCCTGCTGATGAGGTACCTAATTTCAACTTTTTCTTTTGCATTTTAGAGAAATTGTAATATCACTTTTATGCCTACTTTCTTTGTGGTATGTTTATCAACCCATATGATAATCTTTTTCTTTTTTTCTTCCAAAGGAAGAAATGAAAAACAGTAGAGCCAGGAAGAGGATCTACGAACTACTGTCAAAGGCTGCTGCAGCAGCAGAAACATCCAAAGGAAACTGTGGTCAACGAGAGCTTCACTTTGTTTTCTTCCGCCAACCTGAACGGTTCTTAGAGTCGGATGAAAACAAGGGTCATGTTTCTGGTGTAACCTTGGAGAAAACCATTCTTGAAAGTAAGTTCACCTCAAAAAGTTGAAACTATATTATCATATCTTGTTTCTTTTTAGCTTAGCTGTTTAAAAACACTTGAAATGGATAAGTGATTGCTGAGGATACCATAATTTAATCAATATCTCTTGGTACTTACTTGTAGGTGTTGGAAGCGGAAAGCAAATTGCAGTTGGCACAGGAGAGTTTGAAGATATTAACTGCGGGTAATAAAATATAATTTTGATGAAAGATTCTCTGTGAACAAAAATTTGAATGAAAGCATGCTCGGTTTTTGCAGTATGGTGCTGAAAGCCATTGGTTACAAGTCGGTTCCCATCACCGGTTTACCCTTTGATCACAAGAAAGGTGGGTCTAATATGAAAGTTTTGTCCGATGAAAAAGGTGAAAAAACGATTTTTGTGTCTTGTTTCAAGGTATTGTCCCGAATGTAAGAGGTCGAGTGGTTAGTGACAGTGGAGGCATTTCACAGACAGAGCCAGGTTTATACGTATGTGGATGGCTCAAAAGAGGACCAGTAGGCATAATTGCCACAAACCTTTACTGCGCAGAAGAAACAGTGAGCAACACCAAACTTGTCCACTGATGCTCTTAAGCTATGAGATTGGGAGGTTTAAAAAATGTGATTGCAGGTTGGTAGCATAAGCCAAGACATTGAAGAAGAAGAAGGTGTTGTTGGTAAGAGCGAGAAAGCAGGAAGGAAAGGATTGGTGCAGTTGCTTGAGAACAAGAAGGTGAGAAAGGTAGACTTCAGTGGGTGGGAGAAAATTGATGCAAAAGAAAAACAAATGGGTATTGAGAGAAATAAACCAAGAGAAAAATTAGTTACATGGGAGGATCTTTTAGCAGCAGCAGACAGCTAGGATGTTACTCTATACATCGGATTTTTAAAATCCAATATTTAAATTTTGTCAATTAAAATACTCAACATATTTGATTTCTCTATAAGTTTTTTATTTGTTTGATTGTCTAAGCCAATGTTTTATTGAATCAAATTTTGATTCAAATTTATAGTACACTAAATTGGGTAGATTTCCTAATTTGTTTTGATGTAACTGAATTTTTAAGTATACAATCAAATTAATAATATTGATTGTTACTGAAATATGTATTATAAGGGCATCTCCAACTAGGGAGGGCAATCAAAGACCTGGACCGCGGGCCTGGCCCGTAAAGGCTTGCTGCGGGGCGGGATTGGGCCTTCATTTGATAAGCCCGCAAAATTGCGGGCCTCGCGGGACAGGCTCAAAATGGGACGGGCCGAATGCGGGACGGGTTCAAAACGGGACGGACCGAATGCGGGACAGGTTAACCCGCGGGATTTTGAAGACCCGCAACCATAAGTTCCCATTTTTGTTTGGTTTTGTTTTCAGTACTATAAATTTCCTTATTATTATATGGAATTTTCTTGTTTAAGTTGATGAGTTTTGTTTTCAGTATTGTCAAGTGGTGTTTTAAAAAAAAAATTAAATTTTGTTACAATGATGTTGTTAAAGAGTTACTGCTTGTTGAAGAGCTATTGTTTGTTCTTTAAATGGCTCGAAATGAGAGTTTGGGTTACTGCAGAATCTTGTCTTTACATTTTAAGTTCAACAGCTTGGTTGAAAGAGAAGAAGAAACAATTAGTATCAAGTTATTGTTGCTATGAAGAGACGTTGTTTTACAAAGAATAAAACAAGAAATATTCTTGAAAGAGTTAAATTTTATTGTCCAAATGGCTCTAACTTACTTCAAGACCATTAAACCAGCGAGTGATCACATTGGATGTTGTTGCGATCGATGTTGTTCAGCTCTCTTCAACTTCTTTACACAACTCTTCTACTTTAACATTCATGAAGGAAGCTGAAGGAGACGTCCAGCGGGACGGCCCGCGAAGGCTTATAAATTATGCGGTACGGGATTGGGTAACCATTCGGAAGACCGCAGCCCGCGTGGGACAGGCCCGCCGTGATCCGCTCGACGATGAGCCCGCTGCGGTACGGGACGGAACGGGACGAGAAAGCCCAATTGCCATCTCTATCTCCAACCATAACAGCAAATTTAGTGTTAGAAATTACACCAAATTTGGTGTTTTGGTGCTAAATTTTTTTTTCCATCTCCAACCATCACACCAAATTTTACAACAAAACAATATTATATTATTAATTTGTTTGTTTTGATAATTTAATACCTTTTTATAATTGAATAATGATATTTATCAAATTTAGTTTTTATATTTATTTATTAAAATTTACTAATTTCATCTTTATATTTATTTATATATGTTATTTTTTCTTTTAGTTAATTTGTATACTTATTTATTTATTCTATAAAATATTTATAGAAATTAAAATTTCCATATTTAAAATGATTTTTTTTTATAATTTGATGTAACTGATAATACTCATTTTATTATATTATTAATTAAAAATATAAATACAATAATAGTTTAAAGCTTTAGTGATGTGAAAATACAAATAAAACATATAAATAATATGATATAATCTTTTTAATTGTAAATTAAAACTAATTAATAAAATTAATCTATTTATAATTAAATCAAAAGTAATAAATTACATTATTTTAATATTGGTGTGATGAATAGTGTTACACTAAATTTGATGTAACACTATTCACTTTACACCAAATTTGGTGGGATGGTGTAATTTTTATTGTCACATTTGAGATGAGATCACATCAAATTTGATGTTTTGGTGTCCCATTGGAATTGGCCTAGAAGAGTTTTAAATATTTAGATATTAGAATTATGGTTCGTCTGAGGTGCTTGGAGAGCTCATTCAAAATCTAATGGTAAGTCTTAGTTGAAATTGAGTGGTGTTTATAGCAACAGTTAAGGATTTTAACCTCTCTTAATTCAGTTTATGTGTTGGTTATGTTCGTGTGCTTCTAATCTCGTGGCTTTTTCCAACTTGTGTTAATTGTTGTTGAGTTCTCGTTAGCTAATCTCGTCTTTGAATGTAACGTTGAGTATTCTTCTACCAAAGTTCTGTTTTACTTTCCTGCCGCTCGACATCTTTTTTTCCCTTGTGTTATGTCCATCTTTTGATTCTAGGTGGTACTTGTTACCTTACTGACTTTTGACACCAGGTGATACATGTTACCTTGCTGGTTCTTGTGTAAAATGCTGATATAATCTTAATTTATCGGATGACAACAAAATAAAAATTATTTAAATTTTAGAATGATGGTTCTATTATTCTGTTTAAAAATGAAAAGTCCAAAACAAAAGCTCGATATTCAAGGCCCAAGAATGGCCGAAGAATGGCCCAAACTATTTGAGAAAGGGTTAGGGTTTCTCTTTAGCCTACATTTAGAGTTTTTCAGTCGTCTGTCTTTCTTGTTTCTCTTGGAGGAGATCGATTTGAAAGAAGGTATCATGTCTGATTCAGTTATCTGCTATCCCTTGTCGATTGTGTAACTGTACAGAAAACTGGTTTTGATCTGTTGTGTTGAAAATAATGCAGAAGAAAGAAGATGACAACTCCGCAAGTGAAGACAGGTTTGTTCGTTGGGTTGAACAAGGGACATGTTGTCACCAGACGCGAGTTGGCTCCTCGTCCTCGTGCTCGCAAAGGAGTACGTCTCTCTCTCTCTCTGCTTTTTATATTCTTTCAACTTAGCTTTTAGACAGATTGTGTTAGTTTTGTTCACATAATGCCAGGAATATAGTATCTGATTATATTGCTTGCTGGATTGCGTTATCTGACGTGTTTTAGGCCTAGGTGCCCCCTAATTTATTTATTTTAATTATTATTTATTTTAATTTTTTTTTTAAATGGTTTTTTAAAAATCTTGGAGCATTTTGTCACTGTGATTGATTTGGAGAGGTATTATTATGTTGCAGCATTTTGTCACTGTGATTGGTTTATGGCATTCTTGTTTCTTTATTTGGTTGTTGTGGTTTTGATTGTGGTAAAATCTTTTTGAATTTGCTCTTAGCAAACGAGCAAGAGGACACTCTTTATCAGATCATTGATAAGGGAAGTTGCCGGTTTTGCTCCCTACGAGAAGAGAATCACTGAGCTTCTAAAGGTTGGTAAAGACAAGCGTGCTCTTAAGGTGGCTAAGCGAAAGTTGGGAACCCACAAGAGAGCCAAGAGGAAGAGAGAGGAAATGTCTAGCGTTCTCCGCAAGATGAGGTCATAAACCCCTAAGTTCTATTTTATAATTGTGCATTTTACTCTTCTTGATGTCTCTTCCTTGGTGAATTTAAGTCCTAATTGTATAACTTAGTTCCTTATGTGTAGAAGTGAGAACTATCTTATACTGAGAATTTTTTATACTGAACATTGATTTCAGCTAAATCATAGACTGCAAAAGGAATTGATTTTGTTGTTGTAATAAATGTAGGTCTGGTGGTGGTGGTGGTGCTACTGAGAAGAAGAAGTGAGCAGCATTTCTCTCATAATCAAGCTACTCGTATTAAGATTTAGAGTTTGTGATTTTAAGAGAACTTTGTCCTTGACTGGAGATTATGCGTTGAAACTTTTATTATTTTATCTTTGTCTTTTTTTTATCTATCACCTCTGAATTGAAATACTAAAATGAAGAAATTACCTCATAACCATAAATGTAAAATGTTCAAACAAGCTCCTTAGAGAGTACTATGGAAGTAGATTTCAGAGAAAGGTAAAATGGTTCAGAATGTAGCCAGGGAAGTTGTGAATTTAACAAGCTTCTTTCAAGTAGTTTTATCCTTCTCAGACTACATTAAACAATCTTGTTATCTTGATACAAATTTCCTAACCACAAAATTAAAGTTTCCAAAATAATAAGTTTTGCTAATCCTATCACAATCAGTTACAAAAAGTAACTGAAATTAATACCCATGATTAAGAAAAATAAATCACAAAAAATAACAAAAATCAAAGTACAACTAATTACGTAAAAGTATTGGCACGCACGCGCTTAAGCGTTAACACTCCCGCTCGTTTCCCTCATCTTACGAATCGCCAATCACAAGATCTGACGGTTCAGAATCTCACCCAGCCCTATGACGCGGATAGCAACACATCTAACGGTCTAACTCTCATCACACAACAACCACGCGGATCGATAATAACAACCGTCGATCTGTGAACGATCCAACGATACAGAATCTCTCGAGTTTATTTTAAAAACACACACACCAATCCTCCTTCGTCTCATCCCCTTTATATATAAAAAACCTAATTACCTCCGAATCACACATCACATTATCTTTCTCTGATTGAAGTTTTAAATTTCCCCGAGAAAAAAAAAATGTCAGGAAGAGGAAAGGGAGGAAAAGGATTAGGAAAGGGAGGAGCCAAGAGGCATCGGAAAGTCCTCCGAGACAACATCCAAGGAATCACCAAACCGGCGATCCGTCGTCTCGCGAGAAGAGGAGGTGTGAAGCGTATCAGCGGATTGATCTACGAAGAGACTCGCGGCGTTCTCAAGATCTTTTTGGAGAATGTGATCCGCGACGCCGTTACGTACACGGAGCACGCTCGCCGGAAAACTGTGACGGCGATGGACGTTGTGTATGCTCTCAAGAGGCAGGGACGGACTCTGTACGGATTCGGCGGTTGATTTTGATTGTTTTTGCAGTTTCAGATCTTGTAAACTGTTTTTTTTCAGAATTAATGGGATAATATGCTTTCTTTTTCTAAATAATCTTGTTTTTGTTTCGCATAACTGAAAGACTCGGGTTCGAATCCTTACGACGACAATTTGACTCTGTTCCATTTAGCTAGTTCAGTAAACCAATTAACGTGCGCACGATAAGCCTTTTGAGCTGAAAATTTTGTGGCTCGGTCAAAATTACCAAAACGCAGAATTTAATTCTTTTTTGGAAAAGAAAAGAAGTTACTATAAGCCTATTGGGCTAAAAATGTTAAAGCCCAACAAAAATATATTATGAAATATGCGAAAGAAAACATATTCAAGTTGGAAAAACTCTAGTACTCTATTTGTGATGTTAACATAAATCATCAATGCCACTATTGAGCTATGGGCCCGCTCTACCTAGGGATGTTCCCTATGCTTCTACTGTAGCCACTGAAAATTTACTTTTCTTGTTACTCGACATTCTGATTTTTCTCGACTAAGAGTAAACATAGCCAAAAGCAGTGGAGCAAAATGTGTGTTTGTTTCAGAATCTATAGTAGTTGCAAATCTTTCTTAAAATTCTGATTATCAAAAATGATGTTTCATAGACAATTTGATTTTTTCATTACACGTTGATGTCACAAGGTGTAATATTATTTACAAAACACTAAATTTAGTGGAATAGTGTGGTTTTGGTGTATTGTTAGTGAAGAAACTACATCATATTTAATAATTTGGGTTTTTCATTAGAATTAGCCTTAGGATACAAAGAAGGGAAAATCTAATAAAAGTATTCATTATTGTTTCGATGTGAGGAGTGTCTAGCCAACGATTAATTGTAAGATCAAGGATCTATTCAACTGAATAAAAAGGTCGATATAGCTCATGCTGTAGATGCAAATTAAACATATATAAACCAAACATAAACAAAGAAATATGAACGTGAACAACAGCTATATGCCAGCACAAATACGAATACCAAAACCTATTCGAACGCAAAGGCAAACACGTATATCGAACACAAATTTATTATTTTTTGAATATAACCACAAACACAAAATCTAACTCTAACTCGAGTTCTAATATTACATTGGTAAAACACTGTTTTACAAATCTATATTAGCTGTGAAAATAAACGTATTCGAACATACAATGAAATCCAAAATATCGATTCACTTGAACGAGAGAGCAATGATCAATTATCTTCACATTTTACAACAAAAAAAAAGGTTCAGATTCACTGAACTTTTTTTTTCTTTTTGTAAAAGGGCTGATTCACTGAACTTTGCTAGCTAGTTCCTTGAGATGTAAAGTAAGAAAGATGGTGAAACCAAATTTGCTATGTGTTTGATGCTTTGATCTAATTACTGTTCCTCAAAATTTGGAGGACCATTTGTTTGGCACTTTTTGGTTTGTCCTCATGAGAAAGTCCACGTCTATTAATTCTCTAGAAAAGAGAAATGGAAAAAACGACCGACTCGGGATTTGAAGTTCTAGTTTCATCTGATTATTTATTTTGTAACCAGCATTCTCGTGAATTCTAACACTATTATGTTTATTGGAACTTTTCAAAAGTTATGTGTTTAAACTTTATCTTTAAAAATGTAATTTACGAGTGTTTTACTTTACGGTTCCAAAGATACGGCCAATTTAGCATATTTTTTTTGTAACAAGTAATATTAACAATTTAGCATATAATTAACAAGTAATATTGTATATTGATATATAGGCTTTGCACGTATAAAAATTGTAGTTTATGCTATATAAATTTATCTTTTGAGTTTTGAGTAATATATATCCCGTTTGTTGAAACAATAAATAATAAATAAAAAGGTTTTGTTTATAGCCCTAAAAACTTCGATATTTGTATAGATTGTTTATTGAAGGGGTCATCTACAGAAGTCATAAAACTAAATATTCGTTCAACAGCTTAGTTCTTTTGTTTTCCTATTAGAGCACCTCTAATAGTGTTATGCACCATTGGAGTCCTTAAGAATAAAATATTTGTAACATCAAATAACTTGTATAAATCAAATCAATTTTAGCCGACATAATTTCCTGATAAGTTTTGCTAGTATCATTTACCGACTTATACTGTATACGAGCTGACTTGTGTGTGGTGTATCATGTATGAGTGGGGGAAAAAAGTGGATATAGGTAATAGCATCTCGCATCTTCGAGGCAGTTCACTACTTTTACATCATTTTCTTTCAACAAATTCAAAACTGGTTTTGCACCATTCGTCTCAGACTCGTGAAACCACACTACATAAATTCTAACACAACTATGCGTATTCCAAACTTGACGATCATCAATTGAAAACCCATATTAACTTTCTAAACATACACTAAAAGCTAGGAAAGTCGTAAATACGCAGCATAGTAAAGATGCCAATTCTTGGAAAAATCAACAGCTCTATATATATTTAATGAAACATAATGCCAAAACTATATGGAGTGATTGATACGTGTCACCTGGAAGCACTTGCTAAGACCCAATCACGCAGACGTAGCATATGTCAACGCCGGTGTCTCGCGTTCCACGTGCGACTCATATGATTCCTACTTCGCTGATAAGTCAGTCTATTGTTTTGCAGTTACCTCTTTGTGAGGTGAGTTTTGTCCCTTGTTGTGAATACAAATTTATATATGTCTCTGTAAAAATAATGTCTCATAGCAACTTAATAAGTTAATACCATGTTATCAGATAAAAAATAAGTATATGTTGTCCGTTCAAACACACATTAAAAGCTGTGGGCAACTTGCAAATATTGACATTCATCTTCAGTCCAAAAACAAAATATTGACATGCATGCATTAATTCACAGTATGTGTAAACAAATTACTGTTTATGTACGTTACTGTAAACTTGAATCATTCAAAGTCAGGTAGACGCACCCATTTGACTTACAAACGACAACATCATCATTACCTTTTTGAATCTTCAAACAATTTTTTTATAATGTTTGTTCTATAAATTTCTTCACGTAACCATCTTGTAATCACTCGAACATGTCCCAAATATAGCCTTTCCCAACACATAGAAACAGAAGAAGAGTATGGCGTTTAACATAACCGCCGTGAAAACCTCCTCCGACGGAGCATGGCAAGGCGACAATCCCATCAACTTCGCCTTTCCGTTACTCATCGTCCAAACGGCGTTAATAATCGCCGTCAGTCGCTCCCTCGCCGTCCTCTTCAAACCTCTACGCCAACCTAAAGTCATCGCCGAGATTGTCGTACGTATAACATTCTAACTTACACTAATTACAATTATGCCATCGTTAATAATTACAACTTTGCCATTATCTCTTTTTTTTTTTGGCAAGGGAGGTATTTTGTTAGGACCATCTGCTTTAGGTAGGAACAAGGCTTATATGGACCGCGTGTTCCCGCCATGGAGCATGCCGATACTCGAGTCCGTCGCGAGCATAGGCCTCCTCTTCTTCCTCTTCCTCGTCGGTCTCGAGCTCGACTTATCATCCATCCGCCGCAGCGGCAAACGCGCTTTCGGAATCGCGGTCGCGGGAATCACGTTACCGTTTCTCGCAGGCGTTGGAGTCGCCTTCGTGATACGCAACACTCTCTACACAGCCTCGGATAGACCAGGATACGCAGAGTTTCTCGTCTTCATGGGAGTGGCTCTCTCCATCACAGCTTTCCCCGTCCTCGCGCGTATCTTGGCAGAGCTGAAGCTTTTGACGACGCGGGTGGGAGAAACCGCGATGGCTGCAGCCGCGTTCAACGATGTGGCCGCGTGGATTTTGTTGGCTTTGGCGGTTGCGTTGGCGGGAAACGGTGAAGGCGGTGGGGAGAAGAAGAAGAGTCCGTTTGTGTCGTTGTGGGTTTTGTTGTCGGGTGTTGGGTTTGTGGGCTTTATGTTGGTTGTGATCAGGCCCGGGATGAAATGGGTCGCGAAACGCGGATCTCCGGAAAACGACGTCGTGCGTGAGTCTTACGTGTGTTTGACTTTAGCTGGAGTGATGGTTTCCGGTTTTGTGACGGATTTGATTGGGATTCATTCTATTTTCGGTGCGTTTGTTTTCGGTTTGACTATACCGAAAGATGGAGAGTTCGGTCAGAGATTGATTGAACGGATTGAGGATTTTGTTTCCGGTTTACTCTTACCGCTTTATTTCGCCACGAGTGGGTTGAAAACTGACGTGGCGAAGATCAGAGGAGCTGAGTCGTGGGGGATGTTTGGACTTGTGATAGTTACGGCTTGCGCCGGGAAGATCGTCGGAACTTTTGGTGTGGCGGTGTTGGTTAAAATTCCGGTGAGAGAGGCTTTGACTCTTGGTTTCTTGATGAACACGAAAGGTTTGGTTGAGCTCATTGTACTCAATATAGGCAAGGAGAAAAAGGTTAGCTTCCTTATAAAGTAATTATTAGTAGTTTTCTTTTCTTCAGTTTTTAAGGTTCTTGTTTTGCCTTTAGTTATATAATATTATAAAAAAATACAAAACTATAACCTAGTAAACATCATTTCGACATTTGGATCATCGACTCATACGATCATATAAAACAAACATTGTTGTGGTTTTTATTTAACCGTACATGGGGTTTGTTGGGTTTGGTTTTAATTCTAGGTGCTAAACGACGAGACGTTTGCGATATTGGTGCTGATGGCACTCTTCACAACGTTCATTACGACGCCGACTGTAATGGCTATTTACAAACCGGCACGTGGCACCCACCGCAAACTAAAGGACTTGTCGGCGAGCGAAGAGTCCACCAAGGAAGAGCTTCGCATCCTCGCCTGCCTCCATGGTCCAGCCAATGTCTCATCCCTTATATCTCTCGTCGAGTCCATTCGAACCACCAAGGTTAATTACCTTTCTTTATATCTCTTTGTAGGTACAAGCTTCATTTAAATCTGATGTATAAATATAATTAATTAAGTATAATAATGCTATGTATCTTTTATTTTCTTATATTTTTATAATGCTATATCTTACGTAAATATATATGTTTGTTATAGAACCTCTAAATTCTATTTGACTATTTATAATGGGATAGTTGAATCTTTTATTCAACGGTTGAAACCATTGTAAGAAGTAGATAAATCTTTTAAATGTATATATGGATTAAACACAATTGAAAATTTTCAATTAGTTAAATACTCTAAAATGTGAGATTATTGGTGATATTTCTCCTCTTAATTACTTAAAATGAACAATTTCATTATTACTTAAATAATTTTTTTTTACATTTAAATTTATCATTTTAAAATTTCTATAAATAGATAGTAGATTTATTCATTTTGGATATAGAAAAAAATAATTATTAATTAGTAAAATAGGGTGTTAAATTTTATTAAACAAAACTATTGTACTGTATATATAAAAGTTGAATGTATATTGAATAATGAGATGAAAGAAAGAGAATATGATATAGAGTGTAAAATGATGAAGTGAAGAGTGTTGAATTTTAAAACCATTGTACATAGTCTTACTATATCAATATTACTATAGATTAACTTTCATGTTGTACATATATAAAATCTGAGGCTCTATGCCTACTTTTTTTTTATAAAGTCTATGGATGCATATTTATCATTTGTAAGTCTAGATGCTCACGGTATATAGTTTATTAAAAATCATTTCAACTGTTTTCTCAGGGGTACTAATCTTGGTTAATGCCATATTTATTTTGGTAGATACTGCGGCTAAAACTGTTTGTCATGCACCTCATGGAACTAACGGAACGAACCTCTTCAATCATAATGGTGCAAAGAGCACGTAAAAACGGATTACCTTTCGTCCACCGTTACCGTCACGGCGAGTGTAACAGCAGCGTCGTAGGAGGTTTCCAAGCCTATCGTCAACTAGGCCGAGTCGCTGTCCGGCCTATTACCGCAGTCTCTCCTTTACACACAATGCACGAAGACATATGCCACATGGCAGAGACCAAGAGGGTCACAATGATCATTTTACCTTTCCACAAACGTTGGAACTTTGATCATGGTCGTGGCCACCACCGCCACCAAGACGGAGGAGGAGATGGAAACGTAGCCGAAAACATTGGTCATGGTTGGAGATTAGTTAACCAAAGGGTATTGAAGAATGCGCCGTGTTCGGTGGCGGTTCTTGTTGATCGTGGGCTTGGATCTATCGAGAGCCAACGTTTGAACCTTGATGGGTCGAATGTGGTTGAAAGGGTTTGTGTGATTTTCTTTGGTGGGCCTGATGACCGTGAGGCTTTGGAGATGGGAGGGAGGATGGCGGAGCATTCAGCTGTTAAAGTCACCATTGTTAGGTTTTTTGTGAGAGAGACCTTGAGGAGTAACGCCGTCACGTTGCGACCGACATCGTCTAAAGGCAAGGAGAAGTATTATACCTGCTTGACAACCAACGTGGATCCAGAAAAGGAAAAGGTATACCTCTAATTTTGCTAATTATGTGGTTTATTAGTAACAAAAGAACATAACCAACCAGTTTTAGGTGAACGAAGTTTAAACCATGATTAATCCAGAATTCTTAGAATGAGGTTTTTAGTGGAAGTTAAGAAACTGCTTCTTAACTTTTAACAAAAAAGACTAAGAGCACCCGCATTAATAAACTCCTCTTGGGATTCAAATTTAATATTTTTAATTTTTTTTCGTTACATTTACATAAAAAGTAATTGAACCAATCGTGGGCCGCTACGTGGCGTGGGGCCTACGAAAACAGTGATAAATCGGTTCACCAGGGAGAGTCTCCGCGAACCAAGTTCATCGTTTGTATTATTTTAATATATATTTTTTTTCTTTTTGCGTGTAAATCCCTCCCAAAGTTTATTAATGCGGGTGCTCTAAGAACCGGTTTTTAAAATCTTTATTTAAGAACCTGCTCTTAGATTTTATAGTTAATAGTTAAGAAACAATTTCTAAACTTCCGATAATAACTTCACCCTAAAAATTCTAGGTCAATCATGCTCTGAGATTCTTAATTGTTTTTATCCTTTTTGTTTGGCAAAAAATTCAGGAATTAGATGAAGCATCATTAGAAGATTTCAAGAGCAAATGGAAAGAAACGGTGGAATACAAAGAAAAGGAACCAAACAATATAATTCAAGAAATATTGTCCATAGGGCAGAGTCAAGACTTTGACCTCATAGTGGTTGGAAGAGGGAGGTTACCATCCGCTGAGGTGTCGGCATTATCTGAGCGTCAGGCCGAACATCCCGAGTTAGGTCCTATCGGAGACGTGCTTGCTTCTTCGACCAACCACATCATCCCATCAATCCTTGTGGTTCAACAACACAACAAACCTCAAGTAGAAGATATTGCGGTTTCAAAAATTGTAAAGGAGCCGTCTCTGAGTATTAATGGAGATGCAAATGTATGAATAAAAATAAAGATTGATGTAGCTAGTTAAACTTTACCTTAATTGGTTAAAGTGGTAAGGGTCGACGATCTATTTCCCACGAGAAGTATCATATATCACCAAATGTCCATAGAATTATGACCCTTTCTATTTACCCCAGAGAATAAAGTTCGAAATATATTTTTCTCCAAATTAAAGTTATATCGATATTTCCCTACAGTTATAAAGATCGAAATCTAAAAATCTACAAAATCGATTTTTATTGGTTTACTGTTTGTAAACAAACCGTATACCATGTTAAACTAATGACTAACCAAATTAAGATTCAATCAATTAGATATTTTAAATTCGAATGTTAGGTCGGATTACTGTTATGATCCAGATCAAGGTTTGGTCGGGTTTCTAATTTTATCTTGGTTTACTTTTACTCGATTTTATTATATGAGAGTGGAGATTTGAAATTCAATTTTCAGAAATCATAACTAAACCAAATTTAGTTGGAAAATAGGTTGAGAACTTTATTCTTAAGAGTCTCGAGAGTAAATAGAATGATGTCATAGTTACGTAGACATTTGATGTTATACGATACTTCTCGTGGGAAATGGATCATTGGTCCAAGTGGTAATAAGAACTTTACTTGGCAGGTCCCAAGTACCATATAAGTCTTCTAGTAATATAGCATCGATCATTTACTTGGGGGACCAACCAAAAAAACAGCTAGATAAATGGTAGGTTCTACTCAGATTACAATTTCATGATTTACTTGCAACTAAATTGCTGAGTTTGGCTTATTAAAGAGATTCTGAAAACTACTAAAACGAATATGGGTTGGCTTTACATGCAAGTGACAAGGATAACAACATGATGCAAGTGACAAACTACAAGGACACAGCTCAGCAGATTCAACCTTTTCTCAAAGAATCCTTATTTTATCCATACACTTTACAACTTGAAATTAAGCTAAGCCAAGCTAAGCTAAGCCCCACACATTTCAAGTTTTAAAATTAAAAGGGGAGACTTTGTGAAATAGTCAAAAAAAAAAAATTTAAATTCCTCAAGTACAAGTAGGGAGAGATAGGAAGAGAATGGAAAAAAAAAGAGATGACAATTTGGTTAATTAGCTAATTTAAATTTTTGTGTAGTTATAAAGTGAAATTTTCTAATTAAAAATAGATCTCACACAACATATTTTAAATTAATATTGTATTTTGATTGGTTCTGTAGTTCTGGAATCTCGATTCACATTATATTATTACTCCTAAAACATAGAATATTCCAAATTTATATGTTCAAATAGTCATGATTGTAACGCACAGTGATATAACTAATTATATAATGTCACCCTCGTTATTGCCTCTTTGAGAAGCTGGTGCCAGGAACCTCGCACGTGCCAAACCCACGTACCCCCAATCACACATTTATCCGCGATCTGAATCATCAACTTGATCAGAGCTCCGCGAACTATGGCCGCCGCGAGACAACTACGCACTCTCCAATCCCAACCTGACAACAAAGTATGCGTCGATTGCGCTCAAAAGAACCCCCAATGGGCGTCAGTCTCCTACGGAATCTTCATGTGCTTGGAGTGCTCAGGTAAGCACCGAGGATTAGGCGTACACATCTCCTTCGTCAGATCCGTGACCATGGACTCGTGGTCCGAGATCCAGATCAAGAAGATGCAAGCCGGAGGCAACGAGCGGCTCAATAGCTTCTTCGCGCAATACGGAATCGCTAAGGAGACGGATATCGTCTCTAAGTATAATTCGAAAGCGGCATCCGTGTATCGTGATCGGATCCAGGCGTTAGCTGAAGGTAGTGAAGTAAAAACAATGAATCTGAGTTTTTTGTTTAGTTCAGTAAAATATTAATAAATTAATTTGCATAAAATCAAGAAATAGATTTAACTAAATTTGTAAAAAGTTCTTCCATTGTGGAGAAGTTTTAGTGAAACTAGATTTGAAAAACTAAATAGATTTAAGTTAGGTAGGAGAAGTTAGTTAGATCACATCGTGGAGAAGTTATATGTTTCTTCACGATGTGATCTAATTGTGTTAAGTTAGATGAGCATCCAACTAAAATTAATTGGTGATAAGTGGATTAACGGATTCATTTTTATATTACTAAAGATCAGTTTAAGCTAGTGATGTGGTTGATTTTGTCTCTAATAGTACTAAAGATCAGTTTAAGCTAGTGATGTGTTTGATTTTGTCTCTAATAGTACTAAAGATCAGTTTAAGCTAGTGATGTGTTTGATTTTGTCTCTAATAGTACTAAAGATCAGTTTAAGCTAGTGATGTGTAACTAAAACAGAGATTATCATGATTTCTAGTCAAATTCGATCACTACACTTTGATTTTGTCTCTAATAGTACTAAAGATCAGTTTAAGCTAGTGATGTGTTTGATTTTGTCTCTAATAGTACTAAAGATCAGTTTAAGCTAGTGATGTGTTTGATTTTGTCTCTAATAGTACTAAAGATCAGTTTAAGCTAGTGATGTGGTTGATTTTGTCTCTAATAGTACTAAAGATCAGTTTAAGCTAGTGATGTGGTTGATTTTGTCTCTAATAGTAACATTACTCACCACTTGTATCAACAGGTAGGCCATGGAGTGATCCGCCGGTCGTCAAAGAAGCAACTAGTGGTGGTGGGATGCATAAGAAGCCTCCGTTGGCTCAGGGAGGTAACAATGGAGGGTGGGAGAGTTGGGATAACGACCGGTCTTCAACGGATATGAGGCGGAATCACTCTGAGAATGATTTTAGGGGGATGGGAGCTCGAGGTGGGCCGGTGAAGTCGAAGTCGTCGGAGGATATCTACACGAGGTCGCAGCTGGAGGCTTCGGCTGCGGGGAAGGAGAGTTTCTTTGCTAGGAGAATGGCGGAGAATGAGTCTAAGCCTGAAGGGCTTCCTCCTTCTCAGGGAGGCAAGTATGTAGGGTTTGGATCAAGCTCGGGTCCGGCGCCGAGAAGTAATCAGCAGGATGATGTTTTATCCGTTGTGTCTCAGGTGATTTGGATGGATATTTTTTATTTGTTTTAGTTGGTTTCTTGAATTGGATGATGATGATAATGTGGAGGTGATGGATAGGGGTTTGGAAGATTGTCTATGGTTGCTCAGTCAGCTGCAAGTGTTGTTCAGACAGGAACTAAGGAGTTCACGTCTAAGGTACTTGTAACAGTTTCATTTCTGTTTGGTTTCGTACGATGCAAGTCATATATTTTGAAAGGCTATATTTGTTTTGGGTTAACCTGGAGTTTGTGGTATCTATCTGTAGCCTCGTTATCTACTATCTATGTTGATTTAGATAACTTTCTGCTTAAGCTTAGTCTCTCATCTGGATTCCTGTTTTCAGTATATTTATATAATAGTGCCCTGTCAAGTGTAGATTATAACTCTGTATAGAGCACAATTCTTGGATGCTCTCTATACGGTTCTTGGATCTATCTGGAGTCTCGTTATCGAGTATCAGTGTTGATTTATATAAGTTTCTGCTAAGCTTAGTCTCTCAATTGGGTGCCAGCTATCCCATTTTCGACACCTTCGTATAATTGATTTAGTGTCCTGTTTATTGTAGATTCTTTATAGCTCTGTATAGAGATTCTTGGATGCTCTCAATACGTTTCTTGAATACCACGTTAGAGTTTTGGTGAAGTGGAGTCAAAATCAGATAATGAAACCATTTTGCTATGTGCAGGTGAAGGAAGGTGGGTATGATCACAAGGTGAGTGAAACTGTAAATGTAGTAGCGAGTAAGACAACAGAGATAGGACAGAGAACATGGGGGATCATGAAAGGAGTAATGGCAATTGCGTCACAGAAGGTCGGAGAGTACACTAAAGAAGGAACAACAACCTGGAACCAGCATAACGAAAGTGAGAGCAATGGTTATTACCAGAACTTTAGAAATGAGAACAAAGCAGCGAATTCATCTGTTGGAGGAAGAGGGTCACAGTCATCGTCTAATGGTCATTACAATAATTCTCAGAATTCAAATTCTTGGGACGATTGGGGAGAGAATGAGAGTACGAAAAAGGAAGCAGTAGCTCCAAAGGGGTCATCGGCTGATGGTGGCTGGACTGGTTGGGATGATCATGATGTTTATAACCAAAGTGCCAGCAACCAGAAATCAGCTGATCATAACGGGAAGTCAGACACCGCTTGGACTGGTGGAGGTTTTCACTGAAGGTAAGTTTTCAAGCTCATCTAGTGTAATGTGGAGCTTTTGTCATACGCAATAAACTCTTATTGATGATTTCATTCGACAGGTAATATGCATGCCGGTGGAAAGAAGTGTATAATTAATTAAGTTGAATATCAGATGAGGATTGGTCGTCATTTTAAAACAACTTTTATCCATTGTCACACATCTTTGGTTTTCTTCATAAAAGTTAGCAGTTTCTTTATACTTTTTTATGTAAGGAGTTGCATGTTTGTATAAGATCCATACCCAACTATTTTCTGCTAAAGATTCTCAGTCTTTCACAATTTTAAATTTATTTTCAACTGGAAAGTGAGGATTCTTCTCCTCTGCTGACAACTGTCTAAAACGCCACCAAGAGTAGCCTAAGCCCTCTGAAAACTTCGCTTTCTGCATCACCAATATTCACTAACTTTACTAGTGTCTCTCCATTGATAACGTGAGAGGACATTCAGCCAACATTAATAGCTCTACAAGAAAATCCACAGCTTCACGTATTCGTTCCCTTCCATTGAAAAACAATTCTATAAGAGACTGCGATTAATTCTTTATTGTTTAACATGTATCATTAAAAGATTATTTGTTATTCTTTAATGTTATTTATATTAATAAAAACAGATGACTTTTAATGAGATAATCCCCTATATATTATTTGCGAAGTGATTTTTCCACATGTCCTCTCTACAATCAATTTCACAAAACAATGATGACATGTCTAATAAAATTGATGACATGGCATATGATTAAATATGACATGGACAATTGCATTTAATGTTAATATATATTTTTGGAAAACTTTATAAAATATGGTAACAACTCATATATTAGATTTGATGTCAATTTATATTTTTGGAAATATTTTTAAAATATGGTAATAACTCATAAATCATCATTAAAATAAATATATTCAAATATGGCATTATAAATTTCAAAAATATCATTTAACTGTATATTTTAAAATTATACAATTTATTACAAACTTTTCAAAAATGTATACCTTTTTGAAAATTATTAAAATTTAATCATAAAACTATTAATTTATTATATATTTACAAATTTAATAAATATTGTCTAATTTTAATTTTTGATAATTATAATTTTTTCTACAAATTTATTTAATATATTTAATTAAAATAAATAGATAAATAATCTATAAGATTATAATTTTAAATATATACATGCATATTCTTAAATATAATTTAAAATAAACAAAAACTATTTTTCTATTATTTTATGTTTAATTAAAAAAATTGTATTAAAATAGTGATAAGAAAAAAAATTATAATATTAATAATTTTAATTTTAAACATAATTTGGAAAAATTTATAAAATATGGTAAGAACTCATATATTAGATTTGATGTCGATTTATATTTTTGGAAATATTTTCAAAATATGGTAATAACTCATAAATCATCATTAAAATAAATATATTCAAATATGGCATTATAAATTTCGAAAATATCATTTAACTATATATTTTAAAATTATACAATTTTATTACAAACTTTTCAAAAATGTATACGTTTTTTTGAAAATTATTAAAATTTAATCATAAATTATTAATTTCTTTTATATTTACAAATTTAATAAATATTGTCTAATTTTAATTTTTCATAATTATAAAGTTTTCTACAAAATTTTTTTAATAAAATAAATAGATAAAAAATCTATCTAAGATTTTAAATATATACATGCATATTCATAAATATAATATAAAATAAACAAAAAATATTTTTCTATTATTTTTATGTTTAATTAAAAAAATTTGTATTAAAATAGTATAAGAAAAATAAATTTTATAATACTAATAAAATTTTAATTTTAAACGTAATTTATATTGTATCTGTTAAAAAATATTTTTAACCTGTTTACTGCACATGGTGCAGGAGAACACCTAGTCTATATTATTATTTTCGAAGTGATTTTTTGCAACAGAGCTCCCACATTAAAAGTTGGAGCGGTTAATATCTATTTTACCCTTAATGAAATTTTTATATATAACTAATTTGATAATTAAAAACGAAATTTAAAAAATTAAATTAGATTAGTATGTTATTATATTAGATAACTGAGAATAATTAACATAATAAGTTTATAAAAAATATAAAAAATAAAATAATTCTTATATATGTTATGATTATCTGAATATAATATTGTAACAACATGATAATGCTTATATATCTTAATTTTATATATAATTGATTTTGGCTTTTGAAAATAATATCATTCTATTATAAAATTTTAAAATTAAAATATAAAAATTGATTTTAATTAAATATAATCAAACAAACACATTTGTATAAAGATACCTTTAATGAAATTTATATATTTATATATAAATTAGTTAAAAACGAATTTTATGTTAGTGATAGAAATTTATATGTTATTATATTAGTTAATCTATTATAAATTAATAGGATAATTATCCACATTCATGCATATTTAAAACATAAGATATCTTATAGAATATTATACAGTTATCTGGAAATAATTTTTTTATTATGAAAAATAAAAATGTAATTTATAAAACAATTTGAAATTAAATATTAAGAAAAAATATATATATATATATTTTCAAAAATATTTTATTATGTGGATGTTTTTCAACATTATAATAGGCATATAGATTTTGATGAAAATTCATATAAAATATTTTAATGTTTTATTTAGGTTTATTAAAACTATAAAAAATAACTTATAATATTATTTTAGAATTAATAAAATAAAAAATAATAAATATTCGTAAAAAATTATACCCGCATATGCGGGTACAACGCCTAGTTCTTTTTATTTTTGTTGGCATGAATATGATGAAAGATGAAAATAACAGTTTAAATACATATTTTTTTATTTTTAATGAAAAATTTCTATTATTTTTCAAAAATTGTCTAGTTTTAGATTACAATAAATATGTGATTGTCGTGAACCATAAATATTGTATTTTACATTGTTGAACAACTGATAGAAGAAATATATATATGTTTAGAACTTTAATACTTATATATTACTATTGTAAAGAAAACACATAATAAAACTAATATTAGTCAATTTAACAAAAATCACAATTAAAGTGTCAAATGAATTGAAACTCACAAATCCATCCAATTAAAGGTTGTAAAATAAACATTTCTATTGATAGATATCACTCAAAAAAAAAATGAATGCATCATTGCTCATAACTATGATGATATTTCAAGGTTAGAGTTTGCATGTGATTCATCGACTAGTTATGAGAACTTGAATTGTATAAATGGCAAATGTGCTATGTGAGACTAAATAATTTTGTTTTATGTGTACAATGTGTGCATTTTCATTCAAGCAAATTTAAATTTTGATATGTTTATCTTATGAGATAGTGACCATGCATGGATCCAAATTCAACGTTCATATAATCCAAATATTTCATCAAAAATAATTTAATAACTGCTCAAAAGTTTGTCTCTCTATTCTTTCATTTTTATTGGTTGTATTTTTTCTCAAAAGAAAAATTGTACTCATATGTGTGTAATATTGTTTGTGAAGTAGAAGTTTGCATGGGTATTAACTTTTGTGTGTTACCTCATGGACTCCGAAATCCTTCATTCCTTCTGGAAAGTAAGAGTTGAATGATTATTTTTTTGACAAAAGAGTACCAAATATATGTTCTTATGGTTACTCAAAAAGTACGAAAAACATATAAAAATAGCCTTGGAGGCTAAGATAAAATCTCCTGAAACTCTAGATCAGAGTAATATCGCAGATTTGAAGCACCATCTCCTGGAACTCCTTGTCTCCCACCAAATCGCCCAAGTAGGTAGTGAGGAACCCTAACACCCCAATACGGTACAGAAAATTGAATGCAAAGTTCAGGGTAGGGACCACAGGATTGTACTTGCAAACACAGTTGCTGCAGTTGGGACATGTTCCAACACCACCAACCGTCCCACCGCCACCACCGTTACCTGTTCCAGAACACTGTTTCAAAAGTGGGATGATTTAAATAGATTATATAAATCTTACTGATTATTAAATTTTGGTGGGACAGCCAGGAATGGAGTTGAGAGTGAAGCATCCGAGATCTAGCTTCTTTTTCCAAACCTTTTTATTTATTATTAAAACTTTATAATTGAGTACGTTGAATTGAGTTTCTTTGGTCTGATTTTGTGCAAAAGTCTTGAAATTTTCTCACTTTCTTTGTTTTCAGAAGCTGTTATGCATTAATAGTCTTCAACTTAAATAGCTTTTTGATAAGTTTATTTCGTATTTGAGGTTGTTTTAGACTCTGGTGAGTCAATTGGATAGATTGTCGGCTTTGTAGCACTGAGATTCAATAAGTGAGTCCAATTGTATATTTCGTTTTCTTTTTGTGGTCCCGAGAGAAGGTCTTGAACTTACATGATGATCATGATCCCAAATATGGTGTTTATTACCAAAGTGCCCGCAACAATAAATCTGCTGGTCGCAACGGGAAGTCAAACACCGAGTGGACTGGTTGAGGTTTCCACTAATGTGGAGCTTTTGTCATAATGCAATAACGCTAATATTGATGATATCATTCCATAGGTTATAGCGAGATGCTGGTGAGAGTTGTAAAATTAATTAAGGCTGGAACATCATCTTTAAAACAATTTTCATCCACTACCACATATGTCTGTGTTTTTCTTCATAAATTATTAGTTTTTTGGTATTTTTTTTGTAAGGAGTTGCATGTTTGTATAAAGAGCCATAGCCTACTCTATTTCCTAAAGATTCTGAGATACTCTTTCACAATGTTATTTCATTTCTGTAATCACAACTACGTTATTTTCAACTGGAAAGTTATAATTCTTCTTAAAAGGTATCATCATCTTGATGGGAAGGTTCTCCTCTGCTGGCCACTGTCTAAAACGCCACCAAGAGTAGTTTAAGCCCTTTGAGAACTTTTCTTTCTGCATCACCATGCTTTACTAGTGTCTCCTCCATTGGTAACGTGAGAGGACATTCAGCCAACATTAAACAAAGAAAAAAAACTCAGGCACAAACCCTTTCCCCCTAATAGATCAACAAGAAAATCCACAGCTTCACGCATTGGTTCGCCTCCATTGAGAGACACTTCTATAAAAGACTGTGTTTGGTCCTGCTTCACTGGTTTCAACCATTTCTCTAGACAAGTTTGTAGCTTCAGTTGTTTTCCTAAGCATTTCTAGAAATGTATTTGAACCAGTCAGGTTTCTCTCCTTCCATTATCATCTAATCCATGAGCTGAGCCACACATCTTCCACTCGCCTAGTTTTACAAATCCCTTCCATGAGTGTGTGTTATATGTCATGCTCCATGCCTCCATTTACTAACATCTCCTCTGCTTCTCTAATCTTGTTGGCATCAGTCAAAAGTGTTGTAAGTTATCACTCTCCTTGCACAACTACTCAGTGCCATTTTGTTCAAGCATTTTTAGAACATAAGCTATCAATCAACATATTGTATGTGGGGAGTTCACATACAATATGTTGTGGGGAGTTCACATACAATATGTTGTGGGGAGTTCACATACAATATGTTGCTCCTCATCTCTTGCTCCATCTCAGTGCTTTTAATTTTTCATCCATTATGTAGAACTTTAGTTATTGTATTAGGTAAACATTTTCATTCTTTCATATTATTATTTTTCATCAATCGTATTTTCATTAATTATCCGTTAAAAGCTGCTAACATTTAATAAATTTAACAGATTCTCCACAAATAGTTAGCGTAACCGTAATACACCTGAATAAATTAGTTTTGTCCTATTTCATATTATAAAATAAATAAATAATTAGTAAGTTTAAAAAAAAAAAATGTAATCTCCCTTTTGTCACCATCTCTCTCTCTCACTCACTCTGTGTTTTTTTTAAAAGTTAAAAAAAGAAGCGCTAATAAAAGCTTTCCTCCTTCTGATTCGTTGCCGCGTCCTCTCTCTCTCTCTCTCCATTTTCCTTCCCTCTTTATCTCACTCCCCAAACCTTAAACCCTAATTTTCGATTGTTCAATTCCGCAAATCTTCCGAACTGTTGTGTGAGTTTTGAGAATCTCTTAAAAATGAGAGAAGAAGAAGAAGAAGAAGAATCAGTTTTTCCAGCTGAAGAGAATCCATCATTGAAGAGAAACCGTCTCTGTCTCAAAGAAGAAGAGTTTTACTCAAACAAGAAACAAGCCAAAGAAGCTTCTAACGATGACATTAGATCGGAGATATCAAACCCAGTCACGTCTCCGGTGGATATCACTAGCTCAGGTGATCACATTGGCTCTTGTTCCGGAAGTGATTGTAGTTTCGTGTTGGAGATTCCTAAGCATCTTAGCACAACTGGGATAACGAAAGTCACTTTTAAGCTCAGTAAACCACTAAAGGAGGAGACTTTAAGTGGTTTTCCGATGGCCCAGGAGCGTAGATGGAAGAGTGCTTCTTCAAATGTAGGTTTGAAGAAGAAAGTTAAAGACTTTTTTCTATCTAATGTGAAGAAGCTGTTGTTGAGTGGTGTACTTGATGGTGCGAGGGTTAAGTACATTTCTAACTCATCACCTCTGGTAAAGTTTGTTTTCTTTGTGTGATTCTAAATTTGTAGGTGATTTGTCTGTTGTTGTTAAATTGGTTTTTTAATGGTGTCATTAGAGAGAGCTTGATGGGATAATATACTCGGGTGGGTATTTGTGTGGATGTGCTGCGTGTAATTTCACGAAAGTAAGTTTGCATTCTTTGAGATTCTTTATAGTGTGTGTGTGGCTTTACTGCTTGCATGTTTTGAATCTTTAGTACATGTTTTGATTTGTGGGAAGGTTCTAGGTGCTTTTGAGTTCGAGGAGCATGCTGGTGGAAAAACGAAGCATTCTAATAAGTACATATTTTTGGAGAATGGAAGGTCGGTTTATAATGTAGTTCAAGAGCTGAAGACTGTTCCTGTTGGTGTTATTGAGGAGGTGATAAGGAAAGTGGTGGGTTCTGCTCTGAATGAGGAGGGCTTTCAGGCTTGGAAAGGTTATCTATAAGTCTCCTGCTTGGATTTTGCTTTGCTTCAATGGAATTTCTTGTGTCTTCTTTTACTATCTGAAGAGTTTGTTGTATCGCACCCTTAAAGGTCCATAGGCTGTCTATTCTGAAAGACTGAAACATCGCTGGCTTATTTGTTTTGCTCTTCAGAGAGTCTCCAGCAGGATGATAATAACATGGCTGAAGATGATTGGAATCATACCACTGCGAATTCGTTTCAGTCCCTTGTCAGGTACTTTGGCCTCCTACTTTTGTTATTACTTGTTGTGCAATCTGTCAGGGTTTTGCTGTGTTTGCATCCTTTACTTATCTAGCTGTTCACTATAATAAAAAGGTTAACATGACTAAACTTGCTGTGATGAAAGTTACAGTTATCCTGGTTCTGGTCGATCTGTTGATGAGAGTCAAGTCTATAATACCCCATGTATCCCAGAGACTAATTATGTTAGAAAGAAAGTATGTACAAAGGTCACAAAAGCAAAGAAGTACGTTCCTCTAATTTCTTGCTTAGATATCTAATGTATATGCTTAATGAAAATAAGAAGTTTACTTGGTTGTTGATCCTGTAGGCGTACCTCTCATATGTTTGGCTCGGATTACCATAAGAAAGTTTCTAAAGGCGGCAGGTTTGTATTGTGTTTTTGAAGCTTATGTGTGTCTCTGTTCACGCTCATTCTTATGATGCAATCCCTTGGTGCAATCATATGTTTATAGGGATAATGACTTACACCGTGTGCTGTTTTTGCCTAATGGGCTACCAGATGGGACTGAACTGGCGTACTATTTTAAAGGGAAGGTTTGTTATCTTAGGCCTAATGCATTATATTCTGTTTATTCTTATTGCAGAATTTAAGCTTTGCTAATACTTGATTTTCTTACAGAATCTACTGCAGGGTTACAAACAAGGAAGTGGTATAGTGTGTAGCTGCTGCGACAGAGTGGTAAAATGCTGGATTCTGTGACTATATGGACAGGCCTTTATGCTCATTTTTCCTTTTCAAGTATAATGATACATATTTTCTCTTGTTTGCAGATCTGCCCTTCACAATTTGAATCGCATGCTGGAATGTCTATTAGGCGACAACCGTGAGTTATCTATTAACAATGTGTGTTTTTTTTGCATTAAGGTTATAAGACTTATATGAAGTTTTTGCTTCTCTTTCAGCTATCATCATATCTGCATATCTTCCGGACTGTCATTGCATGACATAGCACTGTCATTGGCGGATGGCCATGTCATTACAAATGGTGACAGTGATGACATGTGTTGTATTTGTGGCGTCGGTGGAGATTTGTTACTCTGTGCTGGATGTCCTCAAGCTTTTCATACAGGTGGGTTTGCCCCTTCATTCTACTATTATGAATATGCAACTTCTTTGTTTTAATAAGAACTTTTGTACATAGATGAATTAATTTCTCATGAGATGATTTTCAAGTTCAGCACTGCTTTGGTAGTAGCTCTCTGGTTGTTCTCTGATTCTAATAATTTGTGACCCTTTAAATATGCAGCATGCTTGAAATTTCAATCCATGCCTGAAGGTAGTTGGTACTGTTCAAGCTGCAGTGATCGACCTATCTCTAGTAAAACGGCCATTGTTACTGATCCTAATTCGAAACCAATAGTTATAAGACCGAGAAGAGTTATTAAACCACCAGAAAGTGAAATTGGTGGTTGCGTGTTCTGCAGGTTAGTTGTATACTTACATATAGTTTGAGTTTTTCGTATATGTGTTCCACTCTACTAATTCATTTTATCACCATCTCTGATAGGTCTCATGATTTTAGCGTTGGGAAATTTGATGATAGGACGGTTATTCTTTGTGACCAGGTACCTCTTGTTTCTAGTCTCTTTGATCCAAGTTTTTCTTTAACTACTTGTTTCTTGTCTAATGACCATTTTCCTCTTTTCTGTTGAAGTGTGAAAAAGAGTACCACGTCGGTTGTCTCAGGGAGAATGAGCTTTGTGATTTGAAAGTAAGTTCTGGCTCCACCATTTTTATGTGTTGACAAGATCATTGAACCTATCTCAACTTTTTGTTTCCTGAATGCTGTAGGAAATCCCTCAAGATAAATGGTTCTGCTGTAGTGACTGCAGCAGGATTCACACGGCTCTTCAGAGTTCTGTTTCCGGTGGACCACAAACTATTCCCACACTTTTGTTAGACACGTTAAGAAGAAAGTACAGAGAAAAAGGAATAAATACTGACAATGGAGATACTGTGGAATGGAGGATGCTTAGTGGAAAAAGTAGATGCCCAGAACATGAACACTTGCTTTCACAAACGTCTACTATTTTCAGGGTATGCCTTGACTTATATATATGTGAATGTGCTCAAATCATTTTGAGTACTACCTGGTTTGTGAATTTACTTTGTGAACACATATATTGAAAGCATGTTTGCTTATATACTTCTCAGGAGTGTTTCGATCCCATAGTGGCAAAGTCTGGTCGTGATCTCATTCCTGTCATGGTCTATGGGTAAGCTGTTTCTGTTCTTGCATATATTGATAGAAGATGATCATTCTTCCAACGAAATTTACAGGAGAAATATATCGGGGCAGGAGTTTGGAGGAATGTACTGCTTGGTCCTGATGGTGAAGTATGTTATCGATGCATTTATCTTTACCAGTTTGGAATATATATCGATACAGGATCCTAATTGTTTCTTCTTATTTTTGATGTTTGCATGTTTAGTTCCTTAGTTGTATCTGCTGCGCTGGTTAGGATATTTGGTCAGAAAGTTGCGGAGCTTCCTATGGTAGCTACAAGCCGAGAGTATCAAGGAAGGGTAAGCCTTTTGTGTACATCATATGTTTCTCTACTGTGTTGGATTCACTTGTTCTATATCCCTTTTTCCTTTAATAACTCGTAACAGAACCAATTTTGGCTATGGTGTTGTATAGGGCTACTTTCAAGTGCTGTTTGCTTGCATTGAGAGTCTTCTTTCGTCTCTGAGTGTTGAAAACTTGCTTCTCCCAGCAGCTCAAGAAGCTGAGTCTATCTGGACAAAGAAGTTTGGCTTCACAAAGATGACTGAACAGCAAGTACGTAAAAGTTTTGGTGTTGGATCACTCTCTTTAACCAAATCTTTAACGGTGTTTGCGTTTCTTTGCAGTTGCAGAAGTACCAAAGAGAAGTGCAACTTACAATCTTCATGGGATCATCGATGCTGGAGAAGAAAGTGCCTATATTTTCTGAATCAACTCCACTCATCTGATATCATCATCTCTTGGAAGATTCCTTTTTTAATAAGCATCATCCAGTTTTGGGGGCTTGGGCTTCTATCTTCTCCTTTCTGGCTCCTTTGAAACCACGTTCTTGTTTTCTTTTTTTTTTTGCAGAAGGGTCATTTCTTGCGTACCTCTGTTATTGTTCGTTTGTACAAACTCTAATCAAAGAACATTAGACTTTAGGGGTTGACATGGAGAGGTTTTAGACATAAGTGAAATGTTTTGTAAAGAAAGGAATTTTAAATAAAGCATATATGATCAAGTCATACGCATGTACTATTTATTTAGCCACGTCAAACATAAACACAATCAAAACAAGTAACCCTTTACGAAGAAAGGGTCACAATACAAAACTAGTAGCAATTCTCGGTAAAACAAATTTCATTCCGTACGAATAACAAAGGTCGTTCTGAAACTCAGAGAAACGTTTCCACACCAAAAATCTTATTTATATATAAACGAGAGAGAAAGCAAGAGAGACTGAAGAGGAGATATATTAAGTTAGCCGGATGTGGCCTTGGTCATGCCACAGACAATTCAAGAAGATGCGGCCACGATAGGCATTTGTGAGGCCCATCCAAACTTATCACGACTGTGTTTGCTGCGAGGAGAAGACGACGAAGATGACTTCTTGTCTTTGCTGCCACGGGATGATGATGATGATGATGAACTACTACTGCTTCCCTTGTGTCCTTTCTTTCCGCTCTTCTTCAAACTGCTCTTTGATTTGTGTTGATGCTGTCTCTTGCTCCTTGTGTGAGATGCAATGGAAGGTGGAGGATCATACACATCTTCAGCCCATGACACCCTCAGCTTCTCGACCGACTTGCCATGCTTCTTTCGGCTGCCTTTAATGGCTGGGATGATAGTAGCCGCACTCACCTGTCGTTAGATTAACAAGAAGAAGAAAAAAAACAGTGAGAAGCAAGCAGCTACACATAAACAGGGAAACCAAATTGATAAAGCATACAATACACACTTATCATATACCTGAACTACAAGTCTATTGATAAAGCTGAGCAATGACTGAGAAATATAGAATATTCCATATAGTTAAAAGTCAGTTTTAACGAATTCAACATCATATGTTTTATACATCTACGGACTACGGATTAAGACTACTTTGTTCTGGTTCTAAAGGTGTAAGCAGCTAACAAGATATGTGTGCTAATAACAAACCAGGTAATAATAATAATCTGAGATTAGTACTCTTTCTCATGTCTGAAAAAATGGGATTTCTCAGATCAATAGGTTAAGATGCTTTAAACTTCTCCGTGTGCATCTTCTACGACTAAACACTAAAATGGTTGACTCAAAACAACTACAAGCAGTAACTTACGCTCTCAGAGAACATATCGGGCAATGCGGTAACGGTAGCAAGGTTCGTGTCTTCTCCTTGATCATCAGAAGACTCGAGAGCTAGAGGTAAAGGCTCTGAGATAGGTTTGGTGTTGTCTTTGGATTCTTGATTCAGATATTGGTGTATATTACCACTATCATCCCCATCAGACTCTTGAGCATCTTCAGATCCGGTAACAGAGACATGATGATTGGAGCCATTATTACAACATTTATTGGGACTCGAAGCAGAGGAGTGGGACTCTGCATCTTTGTAATCCAACCCACCACAGACAGAGCTCATATCCAAAACTGTAGCAACAAAAAAAACAGTAACTGCCAAGAACAAAAGGCACACTGATTAACCTAATCTATATCAGACTATTTTAAACAACAATTTATCAAAGAAAAAGATTCAAATTACATAGATAAATACCTCGTGCGTCGCAAATCGAGTAAACCGAAACGTCAAAAGCTTCTTCTTATTCTTCTTTGATTAGTTTTTTTTAAAAAAACCGAGCTAAGGAAACCGTGAGAGGATGGAACAAAAGGCAAAAAAAAAAAGATCTAAAAGAGAGAGGAACGAAAGAAAGATCAACTAAGGTTACCACGCCAATCACTCTTTTCCAGAGGTTTCAAACGATTAGAAGAATGATACAAAGTCAACGACGGAACCAAAGATATCAGTAGCTCCGTGCTCACCCGCATTATAACCGAAAATCACAAAAACTAATTCAAATCCAATCTAAAAGAGAGAGAGATCTCAGAGCTTTTTTTTTATCTAGGAATCAGTGGAGAGACAACGCCTCTTGGGAAAATCAATCAACATTAAAGTCGGATCATCGAAACCATACTCAGATCTTGACCATATCAATTAAAAAAAAAACGAGATTACGAGAGATTCAGGAAGACAGAGAAAAAAGCTAATTTGAGAAGATGGATTAGGAAGGAGATTGTGGATCGAAGAACGACATTTTTATAGCTAAAAGAAAGGTCAAACAAACAACATCCACGGCGAAAGACGTGGCTATCTTATTAACAACGAATCAAATCTGTACACGTCTTAACACTAATTCATGGGCCTTAAAAGCCCAGTTGGATCAAGTATGGTATGATTTGTGTTTGTTAACCTATCTTTATCTTACAACCTTTTAAACATTAATTAGTGAAAATCACAGGCTCTTTCTTTACCAGATTGAAAGAAACGTTTCAACATTTAATTCAACTAATCAATCATCTGCCAAAAGATGATACAAATTTACAAATCCTTCCAAACTAATGATTCAGGAAAAACATAGCAATTTTTTTTTAAAAGAGTGATGATTCCCTCTTGTCATCTCTTTCTATCTTATTCAAGTTGTGTTCGCTCTTGTATCTATTTCCCTTTCCTCATCCAGGGTGAAGGATGACACGCTCAGCTTCTCGACACACTTGCCACGTTTCTCTCAGACGTCTTTCAATAAGCTGAAAACAGACTAGTTTAACTACATTGCACATGTTCTTGTTCTTGTTATTGCATACAAGTGTAACACACAACCAATAAAGTGCTTACAAAAACAGAGATACAAGCATCTCACACCAGTTTACATCAGAAACAGGCAAATTAACATTGATTGGTACCACCTTCCATCCATTGAGACTAGTTTTCATTATCGCGTCTAAAAAATTTATATATGAGATTTCTCGGATCATTTAAGTTAGATTTTCGTGGTGTAGTTCTACATTTTATGTACCATTGGCTTAAGACTAGGGACTTGATTCTGTTATGTTGCAAGGAATTACCGGAACAGGGATATGATTAACACGGGATTAACGTATATCCAGTATTAGAACTCAATATCCAAATTAAATTGTTACACATCTTGTAATCAAGCAAAGTAGGTATACCATTCCCTTTGATGATCTTCAAGAAAAAAACAAATCTTCTCTATTAAAAGAGAAGTACCATTTAAATCTACTACAAAAAGTCATGTTGGACCATCTCATTAATATGACATATTTAGTTATTTATATTAATCAATCAAATATATATAATTGGAGAAATATTTTATAATTAATAATATATTAGTAATAAAGTTGTTGGGAAAATATCTAACAAGATCTTACTAAGAAGTTAAATATTTTTATAATATATGCATTATTTAATTTTGTGATTAATATATATAAATATCTATATTAATGTTAATTAAAAATAAAAATTGTTATATTTTATAACTTGGTTATATTCTATATTATATTAAAATAAAATTATATGTGAAATGAATATATAATATATTAAATTGGTAAAAGAAAATAATTTATTTTTAAAAAAAAAAATTATTCAAATAAATAAATAAATATCACTCACTTTTAAAACATATTAAAGTTTTTAAATCGTATAATACTTTTATACAACAAATGTTAACATATATTTTTGTAACTCACAACAAATACATTATATAAAAAATATATATATGAATATTTTTTTCTTTTGAAACTTACAAGATTATATACAATTATTAAAATTATAAAATTATACTATTATACAATATATAACAATAGAATGTAAATCATATATATTTGAAAGGTTTTGTTATATTTTTATAATATGAAAAAATACCCGCACGAATGTGCGGGTTCAAAATCTAGTGAAGAATAAACTGACTAACTCATAATTTTAAGAATTTCTTAACAATTGAAGATTATTAAACCATCAGATCTTGGAAATTAAATCCCGTAATTGTCGTTTATCCAGTGTAATAACTCAAATACCAAAATAAGTTGTTACAGATCTTGAAATCAAGCAAAGTACGTTAAGCATTCAAGGAACCAAACAAATAAGGAATAAAATGATTATTTCAAGTATTATAATATCTGAGTAACATAATCATCAGTAAACGTTAATCATGATTCTAAGAATTTCTGAACAATTAAGGCTCTTTAAATCCAATAGACAAAGAAAGCGATATTAATTAACACGAAAACCATCTCACTAATTGAATACAATCTAGATAAGACAATTCATTATACCTAAACATGCAAGCCAGATTTCAACAGAGTTATTCAAATCAAAAAAAAAAAAAAAACCCTAAGTGCTTGTGAATTTGGTAACGGCCTTAGTCCCTTCAGAAACGGCGTGCTTTGCGAGCTCTCCAGGCAACACGAGCCTAACCGCCGTCTGGATCTCCCTCGACGTGATCGTCGGTTTCTTGTTATACCTCGCGAGCTTGGAAGATTCCTGAGCGAGTTTCTCGAAGATGTCGTTGATGAAACTGTTCATGATCCCCATGGCTTTCCCCGAGATTCCGATATCGGGATGGACCTGTTTCAGGACCTTGAAGATGTAGATCTTGTAGGTCTCCACGCTCTTCTTCGATTTCTTCTTCTTCTTGTCGCTTCCTCCTTCCTTTGAGATCTTCTTCTCCGCCTTGGGGCGTTTCTCGGCTGGGGATTTTTCGGCTGGTTTTTTCTCGGCTGGTTTCTTCTCTGCTGCCTTGGGAGCCATTATCGATTTGACTTTTTGGTGATTGAGATTTGAGAGAGGAGAGGATGTTGTTACGAGTCTGTGATTGAAAAGTAATGGATGAAGGGGTTTCTTATATAGATGCTTGCCGCTGGTTCTTATTGGTTGTTTCTGATTAACGCGGATTGATGACGTGGTGAAGATCGGAAGAGTTTAAATCAACGGCTTGGATTTCGCTCTACACTTTCTTTTTCTTGTCAATCTTATGGGCTCTATCTTTTATATTGTGATGGACTTTTTGTTAGTACCCATTACCTCGACGGGCCCTTATATGTCGTCGTTATTAGATTTGGTTTCCTATCACAAAAAAAAAATGTATACATTTTGGACACTCACATTTGGTTTGAGAGAGAACACTATCTTCTTTTTCCATATCAAATTCATAATTTTTCATCGTTGTCGCGGAGCTGAAGTTCCATTACAGCTGCAGCAATATTGGAAAAAAATGGGTGATCCATCATGGCAGGAACATAAAATAAACAAAACAAGGGTAAAGTTTAATGGCCATAATCATGTTAATCTTTGCTGGCTCTGTTCAACATGTACAACTTTTTTTTTGTCAACAAACAGCTGCATGTGGTTGTTTTGAAGGAAACTGATTGGACCATGGGTTTACTAGTTTAAATAGAACAGAACAGAGGCCGTAAACCCACCAATGTGTTATGTTTTGTTGCCCACATCTCTGAAATCTTCATGAGCAATGTAACCTCTCACAGCGAAGACGCTCCTAGGAGCTTAGGCCCTGCAGATTCACATGAACTATGTTAAAATGCAGCGATTGATTCAATCTTTTTTGCGATATCTAAACTCAAAATTAACCAAGGTACAGTTGGAAATTAAAGCGAAACAAGACAATAATTTAATCTAACAGATATTTGGAAGGAAGTGATCATGAAAAAAAGTAAGAGTAAGATCGAGCACTACAAATACTTATCACACTGCAAATCAAATGATTATTGTCTTACAACTTCATTCGAGAATGTATATCTATCTGGACATCATATGAAGATCTATACAACATTGGTTACTAAATAAATTATTAGAAAGTTGCAACATTCTAATATGAAATGAGAAGAAATAAGTGGTCATATTAAAATCGTGTTAATGACCATATTCCAGTCACAAATACAACGGCCACAACCAAAATTGGCCTTTCTCGTAACCAAAACTATCAAGTTCCATCTTTTTCCTCTATCAACTTAGAAATTACTGTATTGGAATGAAATTAAAAAATTGTTGAAGCAAAGCAAGCTAAACGCTTTGGCATAACCCCAAGGGTGAATCAGACTTCAAATAAATAAAATAAAAAGCATTGAAGGTCGGTAGCTAACCGAGCTTGTATCCCTCTTATAACCAAACTAACCATAAAAATCATAAGAAACCAACCTTGAGGAACCGATGTTAATGTTCCTATGAACAACCCTACCCCGAACAGCATCATCTCCACCATCAATCAACTCTCTCAACCCCAAAATCTCAACTTCCTCCTCCTCATCTTTCACTTCCTTCTTCTTCAGTATCTTCACGGGCAACCTCTCAAAGTAATTCCCGTAAATATACTCAGGCATATACCCATCCTCTTCATCAAAAACCATGATATGTCCACGCCACTCCCCACACACGATATTCCGACTCCTCATCCTCATGAAACTCAACGCATATCTGATGCTCGTTAACCGTCACTGCCTGCCCTGAATTCGCCTTCAGAGAATCGATTCGACCCGAGACGATTATACGTATCAGCTCCTTCTCGAGTCTCGCTTCTTCGTCGCTGCTGTCGTCGGGTTTGAAGAAGAGGTCGTCTAGGGATTGAGAGAGGAGAGGAGAGTTAGGGGGACGAATCTGGAGGCGTCCAAGTAGGTTTTGGAGTAGAATGTTGTCTATGTTGCTGCTTCCATTGAAGGAGGAGCTCATCGTTACTCGCGAATCGATCCTTCTTCCTCTTCCTCCTCCTTGTTCGTCGAGGCCTGAGTGGTTTTAGGGGTCGGAAAGGGTTTTAGATGTAAACGCGCGCAAATCGGTAATTTTCGCAAAAGGTAAGGGTATAATGGTAATAAGCACTTATAAGCGACGCAGTAAAAGTAAAAAACATTTTACCGTGAGTAGAAAATACAAGTGAAGAACAAACAAAATGGTTAAAAAATAATAAAATACCAACGTGAAAAACAAACAAAATGGTTAAAAAATAATAAAATACCAACGTGAAAAACAAACAAAATGGTTAAAACATCAAAAAATACCAACGTTCTTGGTTTCTTTGATTTTTTTTTTTCGGCATCATCTACTGGATTCAACAAAAGGACATATCCTTTGAGAATCCTAACATATTTATACTCATGTATACACTTCACATTTGTCAAGAAAACAAAATGTGAAAACGCACTTGTAAGCTTTCTTGCTTGGGTGGTGGAAGAGATCAACGTCTCAAGGTTTCCATGACGTAGTCGGCATACAGATCCCTACATGTCATAAAAGAGCTATTAGTTATGATGTTATGTATAGGACATGAAATCTATATAACAGTCAGTTTTATAAAAAAAGGCTTACATGGAATGCTGGACTGCTTCGTAGGCTGCGGTAGCTGGAAGGAAGTCGTTAACTGCTACTTCCTTGTTCTCGTTTTTCTTATCTGTCACAAGAATCCAATAGTATGAGTGTCATCATATACGCAGGTGTCATGAGCAATCCTTTTTACGGTTTAATCTCATATCATCCATAAGCCAAACAAAGATGAAGAAAGAAGACTTACAGTCTTCAAAGAAACGGCGGATCTCAGCCAGACGATGAGGAGGAAGTTCCTTGATGTCATTGTAATGACGATACTCTGGATCGTCAGCGCAGACAGCAATGATCTTGTCGTCTTTCTCACCCTTTTAAAAGCATAAACAACATATATGTTCAGTATCTTTTGGTTTTATAAGAACATAAGATGACACTTTAAAATTCAAGGATGTTAATGTTTTTTTTTTATTTAACCTGATCAATCATTGGCATGAGACCAATAGCTTTGGCCCGGAGAAAGCATCCAGGGATCACCGGTTCCTGTAGACCAAATACAATATGATTCAACATGGCATGTATTTTTACTGGTCAGACAAGACAGACTGAGAAGAAGATGGTGTTAAGAACAGAAGCCTATCTCTCACTAAATTCTATCAAGCCGAATCACAACATCTCTAAACTGCTACCCTAAGTCCTAGGCTAAATACAGTGGAACCTATAGCTAAAAAAGTAAGCAGCTGAGCTTCTTCTAAGCGTATCATATGCACAAATGAAACAATAAACACTAGTTGATAAATTTATACAAGTTCTTAACATTTCATGGGGGAAAAAAGAAGAGATTACCTGCATAATGACAAGAACATCAATAGGATCATTGTCCTCACAGAGGGTACGCGGAATGAATCCATAGTTATGTGGGTACACGACAGATGAGTAAAGAATACGATCGACCTGAAAACAATATGTAATGTTTTAAACCATGGCGATCTCTTTAACAGTGAAAAGGGACAGTAACCAAAAGTTATTGCAAGGAAGTTAATACCTTGATTAGACCCGTAGTTTTGTCGAGTTCATACTTTACTTTACTTCCTTTTCCTATCTCAACCACCTAAAAAATAGTACATCCCTAAGCTTTGTTAATGATTCCCAAAGAAATATCTCAACGATTTAACTCATAAACTTGTTTCCTAATCAGGCAGCAGCCTCAGTCAGATCTCAGGATCATTTCTATAGAAGTAGTGAACAGCCTCCATATACCCACAATGCCAGTTTTAATTTTGTGATGGTAAAGGCACATCAATCCTTATGGATTTTTGCTACCCAAAAAATACTTACACAGTTGAAGATTATTGGAGCTTCAGGTCCTATAAAACAAAGAAAATAAAAAAAGTATTAGAAGCAAATAACCTGAGAAAGAATTAATGAACCGTGACGTTTTAAAAGTTGCATACCTATCTCAAGATCATGCCATGGGTGTGCAGCAACTGATCTGTGGGTCATGGACGAAAGTATCCTCTCATTAAGACGAGGAAGTGAAGCCTGTTTCTCAGCATAACTTTTGGTAGCAGCATTCTCAATGGGTGGCGCCATTATCTGCAAACAATAACAAATACCAAAACAAAAAGCCATAAAACATACGCATCTGTCCAACACAAAACATATGTAACAACATTTTTATATATATATATATATATATATATTAATCAACTATATACCAAAGATCTACACGTTCTCCACAAATGAATACAAAACGCAATGCTCTTGACACAGAGAGACACAAGATACAAAACATTTTATAAAGAAAAAGTTACAGAAACGTCCAAGAAACGCTCAAAACCGTTCATGGTTCTTTAAATGTATCTACCGACAAAAGCGTTCCAAAACCCACACAAAAAGATTAGATTTTTATAATAAAAGTAACAAAAAAAAAAACAGGGCATTCTTTCTTGAATCAATGTCAAGAAATGAAAGTGAATCAAGCGAAAGTTCGAAACTCAACTCAGATCTACAGGACACAAATGTCAGCATCGGAAAGAATCAATATAACAGTAATCTACAGATGTTTATCGTTCATGGCTTGTGCGAGAGAAACCATGTGAATCCTTACCTGAGCGAAACGATAAAACCTCCCGGGAAAAGGAGAAACACAGAGGCACAGATCTCGAGAAGAACGAACACAAGAAGCACCGATAGATAGAGAGAGAAGGGAAGCTAAAGAAGAGTTGTAGCTGTAACTATACGCGTTCCCGCTGCTATTTGAAGGCTCCCTTTAAAGAACAAAAAAAGAATATTTAAATCCGAGGAAAATTAATAAAAAGCATACACAAAAAAAATCTTTAATTTTGGAAACTAAAATCGAGACGAATATGTCGCGAAAGTGTACACGTGTTAATATGTTATTGGATGATTGAGAGAGAGACATAGACGGAGTTCCTAACGGGCGTGGGGTCAATGTAAGGTCTGCAGTCTGCTTTACACGATTAACGTGAGAGTGGAGTTCGAATTGCGAGGAGTCCACGTTAAGTCTCCGTTTAACTACCGTTGATTGGAGAATATGCTGCTGAGAGCGGGATCGAGTGTTAGCGAGTGCACCGAGAGTTCGTGTTCTTGTTTATTTATGACAGGCGCAATTCGTTTGTCGGTGGATTACGTACGGCAATTAAAAAGAACAAGGATTTATAATCTTTCAAGTGGATATTCGTTTTCCTTTATTTTAGGAAACGTAATCCAAAATTAAGGTGTGTCTCCGTAACAATGTTATTAGGATAAGAAAATAACTCAAGCACATTAACTACCCTTCGTAGACAAATTTAAATATTAGGAGTATATTCATGTCTCGGTCATAGATATTTCACCATATGATACGGTAGTAGGATTAGCACTAAGTGTTGCTATTATTTATGATGACTACTATTTAAAATCAAAGTAATTCCACTAAAATGCACATGCAGTCCAAAATGAACACCATTTTCAATTACTAGTATCAAATGGTGTCGGTGTGTGTCGTGTGGGATGTAATATGGTTTTGCCTTTCTGTTTAATTAGTATAAAAAGTTGTCTAATCGTTTAATTTGGCTACAAAGCAGTAAAGCTGTAAAGGTATAGTTTAATGAACTAAACAATCACATAGCGCGTAATCATGGCAATGCAATCTGTATACATTCAAAACAAATCTGGGATTATATGATTGATTAAACTTTCGTTTTTAAATCTTTAGGAATTAAAAGAACAAGGATTTATAATCTTTCAAGTGAATATTCGCTTTCCTTTCTTTTACAAAACGTAATCCAAAAATATGGTGTGTGCCAGTTGCTAGTGATTGTACGTACATAGATAATAGTTTCCGTAACAATGTTATTAGGATAAGAAAATAACTCAAGCTCGTTAGCCTTCATAGACACAATTCGAGATATTATATACATTTGTCTCTTTGTCATAAGAATTTCAACTTATGATATAGGATTAGCACTAAACTATTACTATTATGTATGATTACTATTCAAAATCAAAGTAAACCCACTTTATACGCGGATGCGGTCCAAATGAACACCATTTTCGATTACCAAAATCAAATGGTGTCGGTGTGAGTTGTGGCTCGTGGGGGATATAATATGGTTTTAACTTTTTGTTCAGTATACAAAAGTTGGCTAATCGTTTTATTTTTGGCTAAAAAGCAGTAGAGGTATAGTTTAATGAAATAAACAATCACATAGCGCGTAATAATTGCAATGCAATCTACATTCAAAACAAATCTGGCTCATTTTTTAATCTTTTAGAAAGATATTGATTATAGTTGATTTCATTTATTGTCAATGGAAACACGCTTCGTATCCATTTATAAAAGGGAACTGGATCATGCAACTTTGAGCATACACAACAATTCTGTTTGGTTGTGAGAAAGTGTAGATGTGGGCCGGTCCGCACGGGATGATTGGTGGATGGGGTTGAGTAACGTATGCTCCATGCAGATGCTACGTTGAATCATTGTAGGAATATTCTTATATACGTTTTAAATTATTCTCGGGTGATTATTTCCTTAACACTGAAGACACACAAAAGTTAATTAATGTCTTACCTATTTGTCAATCACCACGCTTTTCACCTTTGCGTCGAGCAAGGATGATTCTCCTGGTTCATTTTTTTTGGTAGATTTACAAGTGAAGGCATCGAAAAACAACTTTTATTGAGCCGGGAACGGGAAAATATATTGGTTAATCTTGTAAATGTTTACATTTACATAAGACAAACTTATATAACTACGAGCTACGTGCTCACAAGCAGAAGTAACCAAGAATCACAAACCGATATACCCTGTCTTGTCTGCCAGTATTAATTTATATTATTTCATGATTCCAATACAAATAAAGATACTTGTGTGAATATACTCATTTGATTTTGTGAGATCAATAACAATATCATGTCCACATGGTTTTATGTTTGATTTATACACTTGTTTTTGGTGGTATTAGATTGTCATTACTTGGCTTGTTTATTCATTTATTAAGTAGATCCTGGTCGTCAAACTATTGGACAGTGAATAGTAACCGCCAAAGCCATCAAATTAAGTGACCGGCGATGAAAATTTGGCATTAACGGGTCAACAAGGTAATCAGTATGATCATATCACTACAAGAAAAGGGTGTCAACTCCGACGATAGTTTATGAGGACATGATTCATCGGTAAATTGCCTTTGCCGTTCCGAGGAATTACCGAGAAACAATCGACTTTGTCGGAAATTTCTCAAAAAATTCCGATGAACAATATATGTCGGAAAGTTAACGGAACGAATTGTCGGAATCTTGTCAAAACACAAATCTATTTCCGATGATACTATTTTGTCGGAGTATTCAAACAAACTTCTCGGTACTTTGTAGGAAAATTCCGATGAAAACTGGTTGACTGTTCGCCATCGGAAACGTTATTGGAATTATCTCGGTACTGGTGTATCAGTTATAAAGCATTTGTTGATAATTTATTTGATACAATTAATTTTCCGATGTTCAGTATTTTTGTTTTAAATTAATAGTCAAAACGTGTAGTGGAGAAAATACTTGTACGAAACGGTTGTGTTTTGGCATAAAGCACATTTCTATATATAAATCTTATCAACAGACGAGTGGTTAAGAATATTTACCACTTACCAGTATATCTTTTTCTTAACTCTTTTCTCTACTTTCTCTCCTTTACAACTCTTTTTGTTCAGATCTATTTTTGCAGTACACTGTGAAACTTTTGCTCCACAACTTCCTTTCACGCCACCGCCGCAGTTCCTTTCACGCCACCGCCGCAGCTCCTTTCACGCCACCGCCGCAGCTCCTTTCACGCCACCGCCGCAGCTCCTTTCACGCCACCGCCGCAGCTCCTCCAAGCCACCGCGGTAGATCTTTTTACGCCACCATGCCGCAGCTTCTTTTACGCCAGCACCGCCCCAGCTCCTTTTACAACTATTTCCATTGACACACTCTACACCGATGAATATATATTGTTATTTTTAGTTCTTATTGTTATAGAATTCTTTTATACTAATAGATCATTTTTTTTTGGTTTAGTTCTTATTGTTATAGAATTCTTTTGTCTAATTATTATTCAGTGGAATATTTGATGATTATTATTAGTTTTAGTTTTAATTTTTTTAAATATATTTTTTTTATTCAAATATATATAGTTGTCGGAAACTAATCGGAATTGAATCCTCATAAATTTATCGGTATGTTCCGATGATTTTCCGTTAAATATTTCCGACAACAATTGTTCTCGGAAGTTATCGAGACATTTCCGAGAAATGAGTGTTTCCGAGACCCAAACCCCGACAAATTTTTGATCCTCGAGAAACNAAATATATTTTTTTTATTCAAATATATATAGTTGTCGGAAACTAATCGGAATTGAATCCTCATAAATTTATCGGTATGTTCCGATGATTTTCCGTTAAATATTTCCGACAACAATTGTTCTCGGAAGTTATCGAGACATTTCCGAGAAATGAGTGTTTCCGAGACCCAAACCCCGACAAATTTTTGATCCTCGAGAAACGATCGGAAACACATATTCCCGACAAACTTACGTTTAATGTGGCCCTCGGTTAGCACTTCGTTTTCTTGTAGTGTATGGATTAAGTTTCAAAGTTGAAAGTTGAAACGCAAGTCTCGTGGAACGGTATAAACTATGAAAATTTGACAACTGATCGTGATCCAAATGCTAAGTTTAAACGATTTCAGTTTTCTTTTTTTGTCTGTATGCGTTGATACAAAAGTTACGTCAGTAGACATACGATTATCGTAACACACAAGTTGATTCGTAGGCTGTTAGTTAGAAAATATGTGGATCCCAAAAACCGAACCGATCAAATAGTATTGAACCCAAATTGAATCTAATAAAATATCTGAATGAAGTCGAAATTTTAATATCCAAAGTCCAGAACTAAATCCGATCCGGACCAACATATCGTGGATATCCAAAGATATTGAATCATAATAATATATCTAAATATATTAGTTATTTTAGTTGTATTATGTAAAAATATAGAAAATATTCAAAGATATACATAAATAACTATCAAAAATAGCAAACACCTTAAACACCAAAATATCAGATATGATTACATGTTATCCTCCCAAATATACAAACCAACAAATGAAAACATAAATAACTATCAAATATAGCAAAACACCTAAAACACCAAAATGTCAGATATGAATACATGTTATCCTCCCAAATATACAAACCAACAAATGAAAACATAAATAACTATCAAAAATAGCAAAACACCTAAAACACCAAAATATCAGATATGATTACATGTTATCCTCCCAAATATACAAACCAAAAAATTTTCATATTAATTTTAGGTATTTGATTATAAATTTATATTGTTTTACTTTTGAATTTTGAGGAACATATATTTAGATTTTCTTTTTTCCAAAAACAATAATTTAAACATGTAAATGAAGCCGAACTATATCCATAATGATTCGAACCTAATCTAAAACAAAATTTATAGATTTTTTTTTTGATCAAAGTATAGATATCAGAATGGAGTTTATTTCTGTATCCGGAAAATCTAAAATCTTAATACATTGAACGGATATCTCTATAATATTATTTGAGAAGTCACTTTCCTATGTGGCGCGCTCACGTTAACTCTTACACCGGTTGATTACTATGATACCCTTGATGAATATATTTAAATAGTATATTTAAATAATATTATTAATTTTATGTTTAGTTTCCTTTTTAAAACATTCCAAATAACTTTTATAATAAAAAAGAAAACAAATTATTAAATTTTAAAACGAAAATATATGTTTATATAATATGATTTCATTAAAAAGGAAAGTTCACAAAATAGTAATATACTATCAAAATAGTAAAATAGTATTATTAATTTTGTATTTAGTTTCCTTTTTAAAAATTTCCAACTAAAATTTATAATAGAAAAAACATCTATAAAATTTAAAAGGAAGAATTAAAAACGAAAATATATGTTTATATAATATGATTTCATTAAAAGGGAAAATTAACAAAATAGTAACATCCATTAAAAATATTTTAAATAACATAAAATGTACTTTTTAATTAATAAAATACTTTCTTTATATCTGTATTTTCTTATATGAAAATATATATATTTTTATATAATGTGATTTCATAACAAAAATTTCACACATATAATTTTGATATTTTTTTAAAAAAAATTACTTTTAAACATAATTTTAAGTAACATAAACAAGTATATGTTTTTATTAACTAAAATAGTTTTTAATTAAAATTATTGAATATTTTATTTATTTTCATATATTTAGTTGACTATAGTCTTTCAACTAAAGCAAAAAAAATACCTATAAATTAAAATTTACTTATATAATATGATTTCTCAAATACAACCACAAATTTTACTGCTTATTTTTAAGAGAAATTAAAATGTTTTTTAACAATAAACATATTTTAATCAAATAATTACAAAATATTTTAAAATATCATACCACTATATACTTTAATGACATAGATATGTTATATTCTATCATTATTTAAATTATATGTTTCTTAATTTTAATTTTTTTTAAAAAAATTATGTTTGTGTAACTTAATATAACCATAATAAAAATACCAAAGCAAATCCGAATTCTCAATTTAAAGATTATTTAAAATAATATCAGTTCATCATTCAATAAATCTAAGATATAAAATTATTTAGAATTTATAAAATATTTTAGTTATTGTAAATATTGATATGTGTTCATGAATCTCCAAAAATATATGAGTTACTTAAGTATGTAACTTCCTACTAATTATATCTTTATTTTCTACTATATTTTAAAGAAACATAACTTGATAAATATTATGAAAATACGTGCACATTTAAATGATAAATAATATTAATTTAATTTGATTTATTTTGTGAAATTTATATATATGCATGAGACTTCAAAGATTATCTTTATATCGATTGATGTAATTTGAAATCAAAATTATTTTATTTTTCATTACAGGCATAATATATCTTAAGTTATAAATAACTTTTCTAAAATATATTGACATCTGAGACAGCAAACAACCTAAAAGTAAATAATATAACTAAACAAAATTTAATATATTTAGAATAAAAATATTATAGTTGAATTCAGATAAAAGAATGTAATCTAATATACTCAAATAATAACAGTAAAATCGACTATAAAATAATTAAATTGACTAGATATAATATTTCTAAAATAATATGTCTAATTAAAGTAAAATAATATTATTAATATAAATCATGTATGCAAATTATAAATTAATTGAAAATTAAAAGTAAATAGTAATCAATTATTATAGTATATTTACTTAATAAATATTTATACCCGTGCATGAGCACGGGAAAATCACCTAGTAAGTATAATATATGAAAAGTTTCCCCATCAATTTTGTCGGGCTGGATCCATAAAGGTAAACCTGCCCAAGGCCTGCTATTCGAAAGCTATCAAACGGCTACGTATTGATAAATTCAGTATCATCACCATTTAACCGAAACCGAAAACCACGCGCCTGGCCAACAAAGATCTCCAGCACAACCAAGATCCAACGGTCCAGATCCATTCCCTCTCCTTCTTCCTCTTCTCTCAAAAGAGAACAAAAAAAATAATAACTTTCTGAATCTTCGAAAAAGCCGATCGAGAAGAAAAAATAATTCAACGGCCGGCCGGTTACTCTCTCTCCATCTCCGTTCTGACGATTCATCTCCCCGGAGCAGATCTGGTACATCTCCTCAATCTCTCACTCTCTTTCGCTCAGTATTTTAGTTTGTTTGTAACAATCGATTGTTTTCGCATTACCAGTGATTCGTTTCTAGGCGCTATTACTTGATATAGATTCACGCGATGGCTGCTCCTCCTGCTAGAGCTCGCGCTGATTACGATTACCTCATTAAACTTCTCTTGATCGGAGACAGCGGTAACGTTTCTTCAAATTCCAGATCGTAATGCTTTGATTATTTTCTTGTTAGGTTTATATGAAGGATCGATGCGTTAGTGATTTGAGTTTCTCGATCTTCAGTTAGGCGTGTTGTGGTTTTAGTAACACGCGTCCTGATTCAGTTACTCAGATTTGAATTTCATTAGCGTAGGATGTTGATTTTGGAGAACCTCTGGGACTTAGTGTGAGGAGAATTTTTTATGTTAATCATACGACTCTTCTTAGTTACATATAAGTTATGTATGAAGAGGCATTAGTTATTTAATTTTTTTGTTTTTATTCCATTAGTCCTGATGTGATTTAGAAACACTCTCAGTTACTCAGATTTGAATTTATCAGCGTAGAATGTTGTTAGAAGGTGAGGAGCATTTGATGTTCATCATACGACTCTAATTAGTTTCATATAAGTTATGTATGAAGAGGCATTAGTTATTTGATTTTTTATTTATTCTATTAGTCCTGATGTGATTTAGAAACACTCTCAGTTACTCGGATTTGAATTTTTATCAGCGTAGAATGTTAATTGTTAGAAGGTGAGGAAAGGAGCATTTGATGTTCATCATACGACTCTAATTAGTTTCATATACGTTATGTATGAAGAGGCATTAGTTATTTGATTTTTTATTTATTCTATTAGTCCTGATGTGATTTAGAAACACTCTCAGTTACTCAGATTTGAATTTATCAGCGTAGAATGTTGATTTTAGAAGGTGAGGAGCATTTGATGTTCATCATACGACTCTAATTAGTTTCGTATTATTGCTGGGATAATTTAAAAAGGAATTGCAACAGTGATGTAAATGAACTTTCTTCGTTGATGTTTGGTTGAGAAATGGTTTAGAATATTATTTAAACTTTTTTCACGTGTGTAACTAACCAATCACTCCTTTCCTTGTGTGTTTCACTTTGTTCCAGTTTATGGATTATTTAAAAGTCTCTTGCTTTTTCTAACTTGTGAATGTACCAGGTGTGGGTAAGAGTTGCCTCCTCTTGCGTTTCTCAGATGGCTCGTTTACCACCAGTTTCATCACGACCATTGGGTATGATCTCGTGATGCTGTTCTCTCAAGTGCTTTATGTAGTTGTCTGGGGTTAAAATTCAAGTTGAAATTTTGTTGTTGTCAGAATTGATTTCAAGATACGGACTATTGAGCTGGATGGGAAGAGAATTAAGCTGCAAATCTGGGATACTGCAGGGCAGGAGCGGTTCCGGACTATCACAACTGGTCTCTCTTCCATTTTTTGCTTTAGAACTTACTCTTACTGTTATATATCAATGATCTTTCCTTCCTCTTATGGTGGAAATACTCACCCAAAGTGATTTCTTCTTATTGCAGCATACTACCGTGGAGCCATGGGCATTTTGCTTGTGTATGATGTCACCGATGAATCATCTTTCAATAGTAAGTTCTCTCTTTACTTTTTAACTTACTGTTTAATTTGTTTAATTATTGCCTATAGGCCTTATGCAGCTAACAATCTTTCGCTAGAAAGTATATATTCTTCCATCAATTGGCATTATTATATTTTTTTCAAATAAACTTATGTGTTCTTTCTCTTGTCACTTGTTTTCTATAACTCCAGACATCAGGAACTGGATCCGTAACATTGAGCAGCACGCTTCTGATAATGTCAACAAGATTCTTGTGGGGAACAAGGCTGATATGGATGAAAGCAAAAGAGTCTCTCTCTCTCTCTTTTACCCTTTCCATGTATCTTCCAGCTTATTTATTACATGATTTTGTGTAGCTAACACACTTGTATTTTTGTATTTCCAGGCTGTGCCAAAAGAAAAGGGCCAAGCTCTTGCAGATGAATACGGAATCAAGTTCTTCGAGACTGTAAGTTGTAGTTCTAGGTTATGTGTGTAGGAGAATGTACATTCTTTTCATTTGGTTGACGTTGATGAGTTTGTTCTGCATGCAGAGTGCCAAGACTAACCTAAACGTTGAGGAAGTTTTCTTTTCAATTGGTAAAGACATTAAGCAAAGACTCGCAGATACCGATGCAAGGGCTGAGGTTCGTTTCAACTTGAGAATTTATTTTCATCATCATCATACATTGCAGTAAGGTCAAAAACCACAAGTTTTACCATTTGGATCAAACATTCAAAACGTTATCACTTTTTTTTTTGTAGCCACAAACAATCAGAATCAACCAATCCGACCAAGGTGCAGGGACGTCTCAAGCTACTCAGAAATCAGCATGTTGCGGTTCGTAGAGAATACGGTTGAAGATACGAACATGGTATTTTCTTTCACCTTAGAAAAGAGTGAAAAATATCTTCAATGCTTTTTCTCTATGGGATGGTGTTGTTTTTCTACGTATTCTTTAAAAATCTTCGATGTTCCTCTTTTTTAAAATAGTTGTATAAATATTTGATTACTCACTGTTGCAGGCATTGAAATACATTTAACGAATTTTTGTTTACATACATGACAGAACAAATGAAAATATTGTCAAGAATGATGTAAAACTAAGATAAAATTACGTAAAGAGTCTCAGAACCTAAGTGATGACGACCCAATAAGCCCTGAATAAAATAAATGGGCCAATGGGGTTAGTCAAAGGAATTAAAAAACACAACAAAATGTTAAAATCGGCAGACTATGATACTCAACAATGACGCCGAGACTCGACCAGATGTTGCAACAGTCCTCCGGCAAAGAAAGGCGCAACGCCGTCTTCGTCTTCTTATGATCGTCTACTGATTTCTGTTCCTTCTTCTTTGCTTCACATTGGATCAGTCTCGTCAAGACTGGTTGGATACGAAGCAAAGGAGGATTGAACTGGAACAAAACAACTTCTTCTTCTGGAATAATTGTTCTTGGAGGTGTGCATTGTATTGATGGATTATAAGGTGGTGTTTTAGGGTTTGGATTGGCCATGGGAGAGTAGGGATGCTACTGAACTCATCTCCACGGCTACTTTTGATTATGTTATATGGTTTGTTCTTGATTTCTATTAAGAGTGATAAAGGAAAACAATTCTAAAACTTTTTTATGTCTTTGTTGTTATACATGTTAAGGACCTTTAGATGGCTGGCTCGTTCAGTATTTAATCCATTTGTATTATTTGGGTTAATTGGGGTAACTCGTTGACTCTGTGGTCTGTAATTTTTGCTACTCTAGGATCCTATATTCTTTATTTGTTTTTCGGCTCCGTTTACTGACGTTTTTTTATATCATAGATGACAACTAACCTTTCATTCGTTCTACTTGTACTTGAGCTGAGCACTTTTGCTGTATAAGCTTAAGCTGTAGTTTGATCCTAGTAAGATTTTGAAGTAGAGTGGCCCGGTTAATACGACATCGTAGACATGTTTTGGCACCAGAAAGTCACTACTTGAGGAAGTCGAAGCTTAGTTGAGTGTCACCTAGGTTTCCTATTGTAAATTTGCACCCATAATATGTACGAGGTTGTTAAAGAGTTCAAGTTTTGTTGGCTCGTTGTACGTTCGGGTGGAACTTGAGCATGTTGAAACTGAGGAACTCTTGGTTATTTATGCGGGATAGATGTTGGCAGAAAAAGAAAGGCTCCATTCATTAATCACACAGGTTCTTACTTGCCTTTCTCCGTCTTTTATTAGATCTTTTTTCACCATATAAGCGGAAGTTAACTAACATATTTACCTTGGCTCTGTCTTGGAATTTTGTAGACTGGGTCCATCTAACAGTAACCGACCTTAGGTAAAGGGTAATAACTTACAGCTTAAATTACCAGGTCAGCCTAAGTGGACAACCAGTCTGCAACTTAAAATTGTAGGATTATAAAACTGACAACTTGGAATATATGTATAATTTATTTATGTGTGTGTAAGCTGCACTGTGATCTTATGATGCTTTAGGCATGGATTAGCCGAGTATTTTTATACAGGGTGGACTGACAATATATTTATCAAGGAAAGTCAAACGTAATCAGAAAGATTCAAACCCAATTTCATTATATAATGATATATAATAACACATTGTTGACAATTTCCTTGTGTAGTCTCTTTCTGGTATGTTTTGTTTACTCGTTGGATCACTGTCATCTTGAAGTTTCTGCTCGCAGCAGTATTTTTATGGACACAACGATGTCTGACGACCAAAAACGCTTCTACTTTTCCTTGGTGTTGAAGAAGTTTCCCGGGATTCTTTTATGATTTCTTCCTTCTGCCATACGTGTTTATTGGTTATTCATTTGGTGACTTGATCATAATCTATAACATTTGCCTTGACCAGACTTTTATCTTGTGAGATATGACTTGATCATTGTGCTACAGCGGGATAAAGTAACATCCGTCTTCCTTTTCCAGGTATCGTGATGAATTCAAAAACATGTGGTTCAGTATTCCTGGTAGCTTTCTGTTGTCTTCTTCTTCATTCAGCTGATTCAAGAACTGATCCTTCAGAAGGTGATTATTTTTTCACACTTCATAAGCTTACCAACACATTCATCTGCATACTGACATTTTGGCGTATACATATAACAATAATGTCAATTTGCTAGTTACCATCTTGATTGGTCATTCTAAAGGCTCCCAAATCGTATGTCATTCTACAACGTGGAGACTACTTTCCAGAGCTTTGCTGATTTTTTTATCCATTTTGCAGTAACTGCTTTACGGGAGATCAAAAGGAGTTTAGCTGATCCTATGAGAAATTTAAGCAACTGGGAAAAGGGTGACCCATGTAAATCAAACTGGACTGGCATAACATGCTTCGTGAGATCACATGATGATGGTCTCTTTCACGTCAGGGAGCTGTAATGTCTCTCTTGTATTAGCATTTGTCACATTTCTTCGTTTTTTTTTGTCTTGTACTGCCAATATTATGCATTGCCATACTTATACACCTCCTGTCATTTACATATTGCGATGCAGCCAGTTGATGAGGCTGAATTTATCTGGAGAGTTGGCTCCTGAAGTTGGCCAGTTATCGTTTCTCGAAATCCTGTAAGACGCGGAGTCTAATGAACTGTTTCATTTGGTTCTTTTGATTGGTATCTTGATTGCATACTAAAAAAACTATTTTTATATTGGGTTACCTTGTTGAAGTAATGTGATGTGGAACAACATAACTGGACGTATTCCTTTGGAGATAGGAAAAATTTCTTCTTTGAAACTCCTGTAAGTAATATCACATGATGTCCTTTATCTTGCTTCTTGTTCTCATTGTTCTTAGTTTAGTTTCACTTCTGGGTTAGTTTTATAGAAGGCTTTGGTTTCTCTATTTATGTGGAGCCACAATAATACTTCAATTGACTTGTTGCTACATTATTTGGGCAGACTGCTGAATGGGAACAAACTCACTGGTAGTTTACCCCCTGAACTTGGTAACCTTCGGAATTTAAACAGGCTTCAAGTAGATGAGAACAACATAACAGGTTCAGTTCCACTTACATTTGGAAACATGACAAGTATAAAACATCTGTAAGTTTGTCGTTAGGTATTATCTTCTTCATAGCAAAAGTTAGCAGTCGTTTGTAGTCATCCTTCACTCACTAGTGGCTATTGGATTTTCAGCCACTTTAATAACAACACGTTAAACGGAGAAATTCCAGTGGAGCTATCCAAACTGAACAACCTTGCTCACCTGTGAGTGTTTTCGCTTTTGCTTTCTTGATTTCACTTTTGGACACTGTCTGTCAAGTGTTTATATTGATGGAACAAATCTCGTAGGATACTGGACAATAATAACTTGACTGGGTCTTTGCCGCAAGAATTGGCTCGACTGCCATCCTTGACCATACTGTATGTACCTTTTGCCATTTTTTGTTTTCCCATGGTGTGTGATCTTTTCATTGGCCTTTGAACATAGCATTCCGTCTATGCAGTCAGATGGATAACAACAACTTCAACGGTTCTGAGATTCCAGAGGCTTATGGAAGGTTTTCTAGTTTAGTAAAACTGTAAGACTTTAAGAGCTGTTTCTGCATTAAGCTGTTCGGGTTTCTTTACTAGTTTCAACTGTGAGCTGAATTTTTCTTTGCGCTCTCACGTTTTCAACTTGGCAGAAGTTTAAGGAACTGTGGACTACAAGGATCAATTCCTGATTTAAGCAGTATAAAAAATCTTAGCTATTTGTAAGTTTCTATGTCTTGTATTTGTCTAAAACTGTATGATCCTCTTTGCTAGTCTTTGATCTCTTGAGACATAACAATACTAATACACTTCTATTTGATCTCCACTTCTCTTACAGAGATCTGAGTTGGAACAAACTCACGGGCACTATACCAGAAACTAAGCTTTCTGCCAATATGACAACAATGTATGCACGTTTCGAAATCTTACTCATTGTAACACTTTACTACAAATACTTATACCGTTGATTTTTTTGGCAGTGAACTATCTTATAACAACCTCACTGGATCTATACCACAAAGTTTCTCGGAGCTGGACTCTCTTCAATTACTGTATGTTAAACATTCATTAACCATTAAAATAAATTTTCGGTTTCAACATATTTTCTGCAATTTCCAATCATCTTATGAGTACTATTTGTGTGTCATCGATAACAGTTCACTTGAGAACAACAGTTTATCTGGTTCTGTCCCAACAGCCATTTGGGAGAACAAGTCTTTCGAGAATAACAAACTACAAGTGTATGATCTCAGATCTTTGTTTTTCGTTTATGTAATGTGTCAAATAGTTTTCACTCTTCATTCTTAGAGGTTGAAACTTTTTTGGATGCATGCACAGTGATCTCAGGAACAATAACTTCTCTAATGCTACAGGAAACCTGAGAACACCAGACAATGTTACCCTATAGTAAGTTTTCTTTGTTCCTATGTCATAGCAAGTTAAGGTTTATACTATTTTTTTTGCTATCTACTAAAGCTCCTTTTTTGTTTTTTCCTTTTGTGTCAAAAGTCTTCGTGGCAACCCAATATGCAAAAGTACAAGCATTCCCATTGTTAAACAACTCTTCGAACATATCTGCGGCGAGAAAAAGCAAACATCAACCAAATCAGAAAACACACCATGCAGCAATGCGTCATGTCCCTATGAGAAGGTCTTAGTCTCCCCAGGACTCTGCTTCTGTGCAGCGCCTCTTTCTATCGATTATAGGCTAAAGAGCCGTAGCTTCTTCTTCTTCACTCCATATATTGAAAACCAATTCATGGAGTATATAACCACGTCCCTACAACTTGAAACTCATCAACTAGCAGTTGATAGAGTTGTTGATGAGAACAAGCTGCGTCTACGGATGAACATAAAGCTAATTCCCAAAGGCAAAACAATATTTAACGTTACAGAAGTCATACGTATCAAGGGCGTGTTTACTTCATGGAGTTTTCCTCGTAATGACTTCTTTGGACCCTATGAGTTACTAGACTTCCCACTTGAAGGACCTTATGGTACAGTGTTGTTCACACCTAAATCTTAATAAACAAAAAAAGACATAATTGTTTCAGTGATATTATATTTAAATCTTCGGTTGCAGAAAATTTGTTAGCTGGAAAGAGTGGAATCAGCAACGCTGGATGGGTGATGATAGTGGCAGCCTCTGTCGTTTCTGCCACTGTTATTTCAGTGAGCGCTACACTTCTATATGTTAAGAAACGTCGTGGGAATCTTCATTCACTCACCAGAAAACGTGTTTGTATGTATTTATTTCATCATGTTTTATCCTTTCAACCATGAAACTAAGGACTGTGTCTTTATGTCTTTTCAGTCAGAGCAATATCTCGGGAAATCGAAGGGGTGAAGAAGTTCAGTTTTATAGAACTGTCGGATGCAACTAATGGTTTTGATAGTTCTGCAGTGATCGGTAGAGGTAGCTATGGAAAAGTCTACAAAGGCATTTTGCCGAATAAAACCGTTGTTGCCATCAAACGAGGAGAAGAAACTTCCCTGCAGAGTGAGAAAGAGTTTCTGAATGAGATTGATTTGCTTTCGAGGTTACATCACCGAAATCTTGTGTCACTGGTTGGCTACAGTAGTGACATCGGGGAACAAGTACGTCCTTTTTCATATGAACTTAGTTACTTAGCGTTTTCCTATGTTTTCAACTAATCCATATACTTGTGCGGTTTGGTTCATGCACAGATGTTGGTATATGAGTATATGCCTAATGGCAATGTGCGTGATTGGCTTTCAGGTAAGTAATATTCCTCATGTTCTTCCTTTGTACTTTCAAGTAGTGTTTTAAAAATTGGTTTAGACGGCGCCTAGTCGGTTCAAAAAATCGATTCTAGGTGCCCGCTTAAGTAATAATTCCCTATAAAGCGTCTAATCACCACCTAGCAAATTTTTTGAAGATTACTTTTAAGACTTGAAACTAGTTTCATGTTTGTTACAAGTCTTCAAACTTTGCCTATATGCTTCTGCATCAAAGTTTTAGTTTTTCTTTTTCACATTACCATGCAGCTAAAGCTACAGAAACATTGAGTTTTAACATGAGGGCACAAGTAGCTTTGGGTTCAGCTAAAGGGATCCTTTACCTTCACAATGAAGCAAATCCACCTGTTATTCACCGCGATATCAAAACCAGCAACATACTCTTGGACTGTCAGCTTCATGCTAAAGTTGCTGATTTTGGATTGTCACGGTTGGCTCCAGATTTTGAGGAAGGAGATTGTGAGCCGGCCCATGTATCAACCGTAGTAAGAGGAACACCGGTGAGTCCTCCCAAGTCCCAAGTCCATATTTGATACTATATAAACAAGTGGCCTTTTGAGAAAACAATACATGGTATTGTATATATGCACAGGGATATCTGGATCCAGAGTATTTCATGACTCGGCAACTGACGGTAAAGAGTGATGTGTATAGTTTCGGAGTAGTGTTGCTTGAGCTCTTGACTGGAATGCACCCATTTTTTGAGGGTACACATATTCTCCGTGAGGTACTGATGAGCATCCCTATCCAACATGATAAAAGGAGCTAGCCTAAATCTCTTGGATCCTTAAAGACTTTTTGTTCACAATGTTGTTACAGGTGAGGATGGCAAATGAAAGTGGAACGGTTCAGTCATGGGCGGATAATCGGATGGGAGAGATTTCGCCGGATAAAGTGATGAAGGTGGCGGAATTGGCGTTATGGTGTTGTGAGGATAGACCAGAGATGAGACCATCTATGTCAAAAGTGGTGAAGGAACTCGAAAGCATTTGCCAATCTGTGAAGGAAACGGATGTGTTCTCAGAAACAACGACGTTACTATACAGCAAAACATCGTCGTCATCGTCTCCTATACCTTCAGATTTTTCTTCACTTCCTGGAAGTAACTTGGACAGTGGCTTTCTAGAAGCTGTAAAACCACGTTGACATATTCTTCGTTGTAACTTTGTGAGATAGACTAACTGATGATGTTAGTGCAAGAACACATGACTAGTGAGAGTTGTGACTTTATGGGGTTTGAAACCGAGTCTGTTGAACTGATTCCTAACCATAGTAAAAAAGTCTGAAAAGTTCATATTTGTGTTGATTTGGTGATACGTTCCGTAGAGACTTGTTGTACAGGAGAAGGAAGTGAAGAGGAGAGCTTTATAAGCAGAGACAAGTCAAATACAGAGGAAGTCAACGTAAGTGTAAATGCCATAGCCTTTATAGTAAACGTAAGCATTGGATGGGAAAGACTCTCCTTCGATCAATGGGATGTGTAAATGCCATAGCCTTTATAGTAAACGTGCATAAATCAGTATCCATGAATCAGTAACATGGAGCACAATCTAGGTAGGGCATGTAAGAGCTTAGCACGTTTAGACTACAACACAGATCTTACAACACACATTTGCCACTTGATTTTTTTTAAAAACATATCTATAAGTGATTTTTCGCAACGGAGCTCTCACGTTAAAAGTTAGGATGGTTAATATCGTTTATACCCTTAATGAATAATTAAAAGTTTCAATATATAAATAAACATAAATAAAAACGAATTTCAATGATTTTAGATTTATCTTTATCTAAAACTATTTTATATTGGATTATAAAGTCTTTATTAACCTTGAAAAATAATTATATTTGTTAATATATAATTAATTATAAAGTAAAAAAGAATTTCATTTATTTGATAATTATCTTTATTTAATTTTTTTTATATTATGTTATAAAATATTTATCAACATTGAAAAAAATTATATTTGTTAATATATAATTAATTCTAAATTAAAAACGAATTTCATGAATTTTATAAAAAAAATATATTATGTTATAAAGTCTTTATCAACCTTGAAAAATAATTATATTTGTTAATGTATAATTAATTCTAAATTAAAAATGAATTTCATGAATTTAATAATTATCCTTATCTAACTATTTATATCGTGTTATAAAGTCTTTATTAACCTTGAAAATAATTATATTTGTTAATATATAGTTAATTATGAAAAATCAATTCGCAAAAAAATTTATGTATAGATAATTTATATTGTGTTATCCAAAATATTACTAAAGATAATTTTATTATACATTTTTGTTATGTCTAAAAATGATATTAATTTATTACTAAATATTTTAAATTTATGAGTATTTTTAAAATTAATTTGTGTAATGAAAATTATTTCTATGATGATGAAAAAATTTATATATAGAAAAAATTTGTTTAGTTTATTATTAAATATTTTGAGTCTATGAGTAATAATTTATTATAATTTACTTAAATTGATTAAATAGTTATTTATTCATATTAGTAAAATTATTAAGCCCGCAAATGTGGGCAAAACACCTAGTCTATACTATTATTTGCAAAGTGATTTTTCGCAACGGAGCTCTCACATTAAGAGTTAGGGTGGTTAATATCGTTTATACCCTTAATGAATAAAATATATAAATCAGCCAAAAATAAAAAAACTTATTTAATACTTATTTGATTAGATAAATGATTTAAATTAATAATAATGATAAAAATTATCCATAATCTAAATATATATTTAAAATAAAAAGATAATTCCTATATATATTGTGTTGTTATCCGGAAAGAATATTTTTAATAAAAAAGATTCAAAAACAAAAAAACACATAAATAATTATTCATAAAATAAAATTTTTAATTGTATATAATTCAAAAGAGAAAATTAAATCTATCCTATTACTTGCGAAGTGATTTTTCGAAACGGAGCTCTTACGTTAAAAGTTGGACTGGTTAATATCGATTATATCCTTAATGAACAAAATATATAAATCAGCCAAAAATAAAAACGAATTTAATAATTATTTAATTAGATAAATCATTTAAATTAATAATAATGATAATAGTTATCCATAATCTAAATATATATTTAAGAAAAAACTTAATTCATATATATATTGTGTTGTTATCCGGAAAATATATTTTTAATAAAAATTCAAAAACAAAAAACACATAAATAATTATTCATAAAATAAAAATTTTAATTGTATATAATTCAAAGGAGAAAATTAAAAAAAAATATAATACGTAATTATTTATTAAAAAAATATAATAATATAATATAATAAAATGATATATATATATATATATATATTTGTGAAGTTATTTTTCTCCTCTGAACTCACACGTTAAATTAAATTTATATTTATATTTTATATAGTTACACCTTAAACATCAATTAATCATATAAAATAAAAGATTATTAAAAAGCAAGAAAATACATATATATTTTTGAATGTATATTTATCGATTCAATTTTTCAAATGGAAAGATAGATTTCTATATTTTTTTTATCTATTAAGAAGAAATGAAATAGACTTTAGATTTTTCAAAGATTTAAAGAAAAAAATAGTTTTTTTTTTAATTTGTGAATAACTTTAATATTTTAGGTCAAATTTTTTGGATGCAAATAATCATTTATTTTGATGATTTTTTAAATTGATTTAAAGATAATTAAGCCCGCATGTGCGGACAAAACACCTAGTCTATACTATTATTTGCGAAGTGATTTTTCGGAATGGAGCTCTCACGTTAAAAGTTAGAGCGGTTAATATATATTTTACCCTTAATGAAATTTTTATATATAACTAATTTTATAATTAAAAATGAAATTTAAAAAATAAAATTAGGTAAGTACAATATGTTATTATCTTAGATAATAAAGAATAATTAATATAATAAGTTTATAAGAAAAACAAAAGTAAGATAATTCTTATATATGTTATTATTATCTGAATATAATATTGTAACAACAAGATAATGCTTATAGATTTTAATTTTTATATATAACTAATTTTATAATTAAAAACAAAATTTAAAAAATAAAATTAGATAAGTACGATATGTTATTATCTTAGATAATAAAGAATAATTAATATAATAAGTTTATAAGAAAAACAAAAGTAAGATAATTCTTATATATGTTATTATTATCTGAATACAATATTGTAACAACATGATAATGCTTATAGATTTTAATTTTATATAAAATTGATTTTGGCTGTTAAAAATAATATCATTATATTATAAAATTTAAAAATTAAAATATAAAATCGATTTTAATTAAATATTAATAAAAAAAACATTTGTATAAAGATACTTTTAATTATATAATTAAATATTAGGTATTAAAAATTGAACGATTCAAGTTAATGATACCTTTAATGAAATTGATATATTTATATATAAATTAGTTAAAACCAAATTTTATGTTAGTGATATAAATTTATATGTTATTATATTAATTAATTTATTATAAATTAATAGGATAATTATCTACATTCATGCATATTTAAAACATAAGATCTCTTATAGAATATTATACAATTATCTGAAAATAATCTTTTATTGTGAAAAATAAAAATGTAAGTTATAAAACAATTTAAAATTAAATATTAAGAAAAAATATATATATATATATATATATATATATATTTTCAAAACTATTTTATTATGTGGATGTTTTTCAACACTATAATAAGCATATAGATTTTGATAAAAATCATATAAAAATATTTTAATGTTTAATTTAGGTTTTTAAAACTATAGAAAATAACTTATAATATTATTTTAGAATTAATAAAGCAAAGAATAATAAATATTTGTTAGAAAATTATGCCCGCATATGCGGGCACAACTCCTAGTATATATATATATATATATATATATATATGAAATCTCTTTTATTATGACTTAAAAAAGAAAATTAGTATCACATAATCGCTTAAAAGTTTCTATTAACATAATAGTAAAGAAAAACTAATTATAAAATAAGTAGTATTCCTTTTTAAGAAGTCTAAACAAAAGAAAAATTATACATGTACTCCTACTATTTTCTTATAAATAAATGACTTTCTTTTTAATAGATAACTAGATTTTATACTCGCGCTACGCGCGAGTCTGTTTTAATAATTTAGTTTAATTAAAATAACTTAAAACTAAAATATTAATTGAGTAATATAATTTTCTTATTTAAAATATAATCTTTAATTTAGTATTTATGTTTTCTTATAATTATGTTATCTTATTAGCTATTTAGTTATTTGTATTTGTAAATATAATAAT